AATCCCAGCACTTTGGGAGGCCAAGGTGGGCAGATCATGAGGTCAAGAGATCGAGACCATCCCGGCCAACATGGTGAAACCCTGTCTCTACTGAAAATAGAAAAAAAATTAGCTAGTATGGTGGCACACACCTGTAGTCCCAGCTACTAGGGAGGCTGAGGCAGAAGAATTGCTTGAACCCGTGAGGCAGAGGTTGCAGTGAGTCGAATAGCACCACTGCACTCCAGCCTGGCGACAGAGCAAGACTCCATCTCAAAACAAAAACAAAATCAAAACAAAACAAAGCCAAAAAATACCCTAACTGCAAAGAGAAAATTGACCCCTCTGGTTATATTTTGTTTTGGTTTTGGTTTTTGAGATGGAATCTCGCTCTGTGCCAGGCTGGACTGCAGTGGTGCAATCTCAGCTCACTGCAACCTCCGCCTCCTGGGTTCAAGTGATTCTCCTGCCTCAGCCCCCTGGTAGCTAAGTCTACAGGCGCCCGCCACCACGCCCAGCTAATTTTTTTCTATTTTCAGCAGAGACGGGGCTTCACCATGTTGGCCAGGATGGTCTCGATCTCTTGACCTTGTGATCTGCCTGCCTCGGCCTCCCAAAGTCTGGTTACATTTTTAAGGCAGTGACTACTGAGGATTGTCTTTTTATCTGTTCTTAAATTCTCAATGATTTGTTCAAATCCCATCTTTCTGAAGCAGCCCATCAGAGCCTCTTTTTTTTTTTTTTGACTTGAGATGGAGTTTTGCTCTTGTTGCCCAGGCTGGAGTGCAGTGGTGCGATCTCAGCTCACTGCAATCTCCTTTTCCCAGGTTCAAATGGTTCTCCTGCCTCAGTCTCCCAAGTAGCTGGGAATACAGGTGCCCACCACCACACTGGGATAATTTGAGCATCTTTCTTTTTTTTTTCCTTTTTTTTTTTTTTTTTTTAAAAGAGACAGAGTCTCGCTGTCACCCAGGCTGGAGTGCAGTGGTGCCATCTCAGTTCATCTCAAACTCTGCCGCCCGATTTCAAGCAGTTCTCCTGCCTCAGCCTCCCGAATACCTGGGACTACAGGTGCACACCACCACACCCAGCTACTTATGTTTTGTATTTTAGTAGAGATGGGGTTTCACCATGTTGCCCAGGCTGGTCGTGAACTCCTGAGCTCCAGCAATCTGCCCACCTCGGCCTCCCAAACTGCTAAGATTACAGGCGTGAGCCACAGCGCCAGGCAATTTGAGCATCTTTAATTGTCCTTGGCTTTGCTCACTTTACATATGGAAGATGGGAAAGCTAAAAATCATGTCAGGTCACCTCAGAATGTCCTTCTTTCTCTTATACTTAGGACATATTTTATCTTAAGGTATACTTCTCAATGTTCTTGAAAAAAATAAGGTGGGAGTGGTGTTTATTTGGCATTTTTAGGCATCAGGCCAAACACCAAAGAGAAAGGCCTGAAATTGCCTGCAGGGACTCCTGTGAGAGCCTCGCCATCTCTCAGCGGGAGAAAAGCAGGGCTTTCCTGGGTTATTTTGAATGCGTGCTGTGTGCTGACCAAACAGACATGGAAGGAAAGAAAACATACAGGACCCTTGCAGGAAAGGCAATGCAAGGCGAGGCGGTGGCCATCTGCCCTTCCGACTTCCTCTTACTTAGACCTGCCATCTCACTGGATTCCAGCAGTTTTCAGAAGGGCCTTCCAAAAGCCAGCTCCTCCTTCCTTCTTTTAAAGCGGCAGCAACATGTCATCGATTAAAACTGCCGTTACATTTTAATTGAAAGGGTTCTTTCATTCACAAATCATTTTGAGTCAGTCAAAATAATCTCACGCAGGCTCCCAGAGAAACATCCCCACTGCCTAGAACATTCTCCCTTGTGTGCCTTCCCTGCGTGGCCCTCCTTTATTTCCGTAGCACTGTTACAAGTTTGTGCCTGAATGCTTTACTTCAGTCACATCCTGTTGCTGAGAATGGAATATCCTGGGTGGTCACAGAGCTCAGGATTCACTGAAACCTAACACCATCCTGAGGCAAGAGGAAGCCTCCAGTAATCAAACAGATGAGAGAGAAACTGTTTTCTTATTTAATGATGTCTACATGTTGAGACTCTCTGATCAGGTACCTGTGTGAGGGACATGAGGCTTGTATGAATCTGCTCTGTTAACTATTTTGAAAGAATAAAATGTCCTGCTACTACGTCCAAAGCAATGATTAGACCTAGAGCAAGACTGTGGTGGGGCAGCCAGCTACATTCGGCAGAGGATTTCATTAGCAACAGAGCAGGAAAAAGGTGACGGTGTGCAGTAGGAAATGGCTCTAAGACCAGCCAAGGGGAAGCACCTGCCATCCACCACCTGGCCTTCCTCCTGAAGCCCCACCTCCAGGGGGGCTCCTCCACCCCCACCCAGGCTTTGTGGCAAAGGGAAGGGCCCAGGCCTTGCCCAGCAGCTTCTGTAGGGGCCGGCACTGGGGCTGGGGGCTGCTGCCCTGGAGTCATTCTGTCTTATTCCCAATTTCAGCTGCTTGTTTCAGCTTGTGAAGACACCTCATTAGTGCGTTGACAACACATATTCTTAACGATCTTTCATGGAAAGATATTCAGAAAGGCCAAATATGAAAAACGATTCACACTTGTTCAGCTCTTGATTTCTAATGCTTGATGGAGGCGAGTGTGACAGTTTTCAGCAACGTGGTCATGAACATCACCAGAGAGCACCTGTTCTGTTTGGAAGGGGGTTTTCAGTTGTGTCTCGACACAGGCTTGGTCTCTGTGTCTCCGTGGGAGTCCTAACTGCTAACTAGCCAGCTAGACTGACACAAACCCAGGCTCTGGGCCTTGTCTGCTCACTGTGTTCACACCCAGCTGCCATGCCTGGCCCTGCTTTGCTCTCACAATCAGGCAATGCCTTAGTACCTATTTGTTGGCCTTAAATCCAAAGCATTTTCGTTTTTCAAAATGCACGACTCTGGTATAAAGCTTTTTCTTTCTCTCTGACTCCTAAGTTTGGTAATTCATATAATGAAGCCTTATCATCCAGTGTGATGGTATTTGAGGGTTCAGCCTTTGGAAGTAATTAGGCTGAGGTTGACCCCATGATGGGATTAGGGCTCATTTAAGGGGAAGATAGAGCACCGCTTGCTTCACGTGCATACACAGAGGAAAGGCCACATGAGTATGCAGCAAGAAGGCAGCGCTCTACAAGCCAGGAAGTTCCTCACCAGGAACAAATCTGCTGGCACCTTGGTCTTGGACCTCCAACCTCTAGAACTCTGAGAGATAAATGTCTGTTGTTTAAGCCACTCAGTCTATGTATTTGGTCATAGCAGCCAAAGCTAAGACAATGGTTGAATAAACAAATCTGGACAAATAATAAACAATGTAAAGAAAGCTGTATTTGCCCGTGGCCTTTAGAGTCTACTGCAGTGTGCCTAGGCAAAGAAACGGCAGGAAACATGAGCCACGTACAGGACCAATAATGGATCCTGGATTTCTTCTAGAACTGAGAGGTGAAGCCAGTTGGACTTCCTGGGTCAAGTGGGGACTTGGAGAACTTTTCTGTCTAGCTAGAGGATTGTAAACGCACCAATCAGCATTCTGTGTCTAGCTAAAGGATTGTAAATGCACCAATTGGCACTGTAAAAACGCACCAATCAGTACTCTGTGTCTAGCTAAAGGACTGTAAATGCAGCAATTAGCACTCTGTAAAAATGCACCAATCAGCGCTGTGTCTAGCTAAAGGACTGCAAATGCACCAATCAGCACTCTGTAAAAACGCACCAATCAGCACTCTGTATCTAGCTAAAGGATTGTAAACACACCAATCAGCACTCTGTAAAATGGACCAATCAGCAGGATGTTGGCAGGGACAAATAAGGGAATAAAAGCTGGCCATCCCAGCCAGTAGTGGCAACCCGCTTGGGTCCCCTTCCATGCTGTGGAAGCTTTGTTCTTTCGCTCTTCACAATAAATCTTGCTGCTGCTCACTCTTTGGGTCTGTGCTACCTTTAAGAGCTGTAACACTGCGAAGGTCTGCAGCTTCATTCTTGAAGTCAGTGAGACCAAGAACCCACTGGAAGTAACCAACTCCGGACACAGAACCGCTTGCCAAAGCACCGAGCTGGGGACAAATATTCCTGGGACAGGCCTTCCTTTCCATGGAGCTCAGTTCCTTGGCAGAGGGTGTCAGACTGGTTGGTCTAAGGGTAGAAAGAGGCTATGCTTCTCTTTAAAAACTGTACCTCTTGGTGGGTATGATGTGTCACCCAACAGGCTCAGGAGGGAAAAGACAGAAATGCTCACGCCCTCATCTCCAAGTGCACTAAGCCACGTTCCCACCCGGGAACTCAGAGGTAGACTTGCCTAGGGTGTGGGTGTCCTTCCTGCCCTGTGCCGTACTCATAGGATTCCCACATACAGGTTTCTCTGGATACAGCAGGAGCAGCCAGGCTTTCGAGGCTGGGTGACCAGATGACGCCTGAGGAGCCAGCTCATCACCTGGCCTCATGCACAGCAATGCAGAGAACACAAAGGCCTGGAGGGAAGTTTTTATTTATTTATCATGTTTGTAAGTTACAGACATTTACGTTTTCAGCAATAATTTATAACAGTTACATCTCATACTTCAACTATCAGAACAGAGAGAACATTAAAGTACAAATACTTCAAAAATGAGGTTACTGTGATGTATCATAAAAGGAGTTAAAATTCAAAATATCAAAGACCTCACCTACCGAACTAAACATAAATATTAAAACCTCCTGTAGCCTCTGAGCCTGAAGTTACAAAACTTAGTGACTGCTTAAACCAAGGAATTAACAGTTCTGTGTTTTCAAGGTAAGAAAACAAAAATGCTTTGGTAAGCTATCTTTAATACTAGTTTAAATGTTTCTGTCCTGTTTGTATCTTGAAAGACTGTATATAAGTACAGGCGCAGCATATATTTGAGAAAACATCTCACAAATTTCATTTACTATAGGTTTCTCAATCATGTTTACATTTAATCAATGAGAAAAGTGATTCAGTCTCTTGAATTTTAAGTTAAAAAAATTAAAAAGTATTTCCAGGGACTCTTAAAGCTCTCTCCAAAAGTATAAAATATTATATACTTTCAAAATCTTAAGCATTCACATTCTTTCTGAGATCAACACAGGATACAAACTTACTCCCAACATAGACGCTCATGTGCTTTTGGGCACACATAGCCTTAGAACAGTGGTCAAACAGCTCACAGGACCCTGTACTCCTCTTCATCCTGGACTGTGGCGGTGACCACAGTCAGACCAGCCCCCTCCCATCTGCCTTCCAGGTCAGATTCCCTGGAATTTATTAAGCTGTCACTCTTCGATGCGTTCTTCCTTGGAGGACTCAAGCTCATTTAGTAAGTCTTTGCCAGCTGCTCCAGCTTTTGAAGCAAAGAGAACTGCTCCCTGCTTAAAACCGAGGTTCTTCAAACTCCTGGCATAATCTGCATATACAGCAGTGATAAGTTTCTGTAAACCATAGCTAAGGAAAAGAAGAGTAAAAAGGGCTGTGATGAGGCTCCGCACAGGCTCCTAGAAACAGGAAAGGTGAGTTGCGTCTGCTCTGCTGGCTGCTCGGAAGGGACCTGGTGTCCACAGCGGGCAGCACAGGATGAACACAGGAGCCTTTTTGTAGGCGGAGGGTGATTCCCGGCTATAGGAGGCCATATCTCAGTCTGTACAATCACTACCTTTCGCATCAGCTGAGGCCAAAGCTTCTCCTTCCAGAGGACTCAACCAACATCCTTCCAGATTCTCCCACAACCTACACTCAACTAAAGATTGGAAGATGAATGATATGAGAAGAGAAACTCAACCTGCATATCCTCATTCCATTTGAAAGTGTGAGAGGCTGGCAGTTTGGGGGCAGATATTTATTTCTCAACATTCCCTATATCTGGATGTTGGGTTTTTAGAAAGGCCTGCCTATTGTTTTTAAAAACTTTTTTTTTTTTTTTTTAAACAGCCTATTGGGTACTCTGTGCTGATGCTTTGATCCTCAAAATGGATACACTGAACCAGTCACCTTCCCAATGACTAGGTACATGATCTTGAGTAGGCTCAGGCTTCAGTTTAATTTAAAAAAAAACTTTCAGTGTAGGGCTGGGTGGCTCATGCCTGTAATCTCACCACTTTGGGAGGCCAAGGTGAGAGGATCGCTTGAGTTGGAGTTTAAGGCCAGCCTGGGCAGCATAGACCTGCATCACTACCAAAACAAAACAAAACAAAACAACAACAAAAAACCCAGGCACAGTGGTGTGGACCTATGGTCCCAGCTACTGGGGAGGCTGAGGTGGGAGGATTGCTTGAGCCCAGGAAGTCAAGGCTGCAGTGAGCCATGATTGTGCCACTCACTCCAGTCTGGGCAGAAGCGTGAGACCTTGCCTCAAAAACAGGAAAAAAAAAATTTAGTTTAGTCTTAGTTTAATTTTCTGTAAGAAAAAAAAATAAAAATATATATATATATATATATGTATATATGTGTGTGTGTGTATATATATACACACAGAGAGAGAAAGAGGGAGAAAGAGAGAGAGAACCAAGTAGCTGCCATGTAGAAATGAGAGCAAATTTAAGAATTCGAAGCAAAGTGTAGTGAGCAGCAGCAGGGCCACACAAGCACTGGCCCAAGTTCATTCTTTTCTGGTCCTGGGAGTTGCATTCTCAAGTTCACTCTTTTCAAAGAAACCGATGTTGCTCAAGTGACATTTAGAAGAAATAAAATGTTGCGGCTGATGGGTGGATCATGGTGGCTGGCCTGAGCAACACCCCTCTTTAAGTGCTGTATTTTGTACCATAGCATATTGTCATTAGAGGTGATCGTGGGAGTCTTTTTTAGTTATTCCAGTTTATTTTTTCTAGATAAATATATAAGATGTATTCCATGGAATGCCTGGTCTGGAAAAAGTACTATCTGAAAGTACCAAGTCCTTCTCCCTGTTCCCCAAATCATTCCTTCATCTTATTTTAAAGTTCAAACAAGACTTGGGGGCCCTGTCCTGCATAGTCCTTCCTGCCTCCCTCCATTCTAGTCAAAGCTGACACCCACGGTGCAGCCACCTTCTTTTCTGATTCTTTGTCCTCTAATTTCTCCCTCTTTCCTGGCTTTGGTGAATCAGAAAATCAGAACGTGGATCTTTCACAACATAATATAGCTCCTGTCCAGGCAGCACAACTAAGGGAAATTCCAAAACCCATGCATGTCACTTTCTTCCTCGTCACTATAAAAACCTTGCAAAGGATATCTGTGTCCTCAGTGACTTCAAATGCTCCATACTTGAGGCAAGCTTCCACAAATAAGGCCGCTCTATCAAAGTATCGCATGCTGCTCAACAGAACAAAACAAGAGTTATGCTTTGTGATTTATGTCACTGGTGGGCAGCACCACTGAAGGGTATATTTCTGTATAAAGACATTTACACATTTTCCCTGGAAACCTTCGTACTACATTAAGATACAAGCACTTTTCTAAGCCCTGGTTTATTAAAAAAAGGAGGGAAGAATACTCACATCTCCAAACCCAAGCTTTTTAAAATTAATACTTTAAAAAATTGTGAAATAGTTTAAATACACAAAAATCTACAGAGATGACAAGTGCCCATGTACCCAGTATCCAGAGTTGACAAGTAATCTTTTGTCATATTTCCTTAATCTACCTCCCTTAGTTTTGAATAAATGAAATGCTCCACAATTAGTGATGGTTGTTCCTCTTCCAGATTTTCAGACAGGATGTCTCCACCTCACCATGCCTTCTGTCACCTCTCCCCCTGCTCTCTGGGCCTCCTCTCAGTTGCTCTAGTCAAAGCTGAATGGACCCCAATTCTCTGAAGACTTTTAAATTCCTTTTTACTAGGTGCCTGTTAGGTTTGATCAGCATATTAGTAGGAAACTATCATAGCTCCCAGACCAAATGAAGACGTAATGAACATGGACAGTTCCACTCTCCTTTGGGTTTTTTGACAAACCTGAAATGTATACTTCTCCTTTCACTTCACATTGAGTACCACCACCTGCTAGAACCGCGAGAGAACATGAAGTGACTGCTCACGGGCAGTCCTGAGCAGCCCATGTGAACTCTCGGTTTACCTGTGAAGCGTCTCTGCCACGCTGAAAAAGCAGCCCAGAGAGAGGAGGACCAGGAGAGCCTTTGATTTCTGATTGACTTGTGGAGAACAAAGGTGGTCAACCCACCGCTTTAAAACGTCGGCACACTCCTCAGGATTCAAACGGACCTGAGAAAGATGCCTGTGTTAACAACAAAAACATCCTGCGCTCTATAAAGAAAAAATAATAATTCCGTTAAAGTGAGATCTGTTTCTATGAAACACAGGCTAGGCTCTGCTTGACTAGAACACTGCCCTGAAGCTGCTGCACACCCTGAATGATGCTAAGTCTGTGCCTACAGGACCCAATACCTCTGGACTGTAGTTCAGGCTCAGACTCTAGGAGGAAGAGGAGGCAGCTGCTTTTACTTAATTGCTACCAATGCAAGATCCATTTTTAAATAAGTAATGCTATTTACACTCATAAAGAATAGGAAAAGGATGAAGGTTGCAAGAAAATATTTGCAAAGCAGCTTTGCAGCCCAAAAAATGTTTCAAAGTCATAAGTCCAAAGTTCAGGACTGAACTTTCTATCCCAAATGTTGAGGGCACCTACTGAAACTTGGAACCACCTACTTTCGCCAGCCATGCAGCCCGATTCCACTCGCCGTATGTCTGCAGGTAGCGACAGGCATCTGCAGCCTTGTCTATCAGACAGAGCAACTGAACGCCCTCTGAAAGACAAACGCACACCCCCTCAAGTGACACTGCAGCTCTTTCTTTGAGAAGTCATTAAAAAGTTAAATCCCCATTTGACCTTATTTAGTCTTGCCCATTTTATACCTACTGAAGACAGGCTTGATTTAAATTTTGAAACATAATATTCAGGGTTTTACTGTTATTACTCAAGTAACCAGGGTAGGAAGCACAATACAGTCTGGAGAATAAGTAGGGAAAGCATAGTTCTCTCGCAGGTTTTATTGTTCTGGCTTGCCTAGGATTGTTGGATTTATGCCTATTATCTCAGCAATTATTAATAGAGCCCCCTTTCACTCTGAAAAGTGTAAACAGTTAATTCTGGTTTAGACAATTATAGTCATCTGATTTATAGGTAGCAATCATTCTTCTTTTTCTTCAGCATATGTAAAAAAGAAAGAAATGTCCCTACTAATCAAATACTTTGCTGGGAACAAGGTCTCATTTTTCAGAGAGATGACAAATATATCATGTGTGCCTTACCTGCCAGTTTGCCATTGGCAATCATATTCGTCGCCACCAACTTAATGGTGCTCTGAGAGGGGCCTGACGAGGTGACAGTAGTGACTAAACAGGCTTTCAGTGAATCACAGTAATAATGCTGGTTATCTGCACTTGTTTCCAACAGCAACTGCACAGCTCTGTCTGTCTAGTAAGAGAAACGGTTTTTCTAATTACGAGAACATTTTCCTCCAACATAACTTTTTAAAATTCATAATGTGGAAAACTAAAGGAAAACACTCATTGTCAAAAACTGCAATTGAATATTTTGTTTACAAATACAAAAATTAAACAGAGGTGCTACACTACTATTTTGAGACAAACAAAGCCAGAGTCTGGTGTATCTAGGTGCTCGAGTAATTGCCTATTTTAGCTTTGCACCAGTGAATTCGGACACACACACAAAAAAACAAAACAAATAGCTGGGCTCCACTGGACATTATGGAAGTCTAAATTACAAGCTGGTTAACCACATGTTTTTACTTTCTTATGAAGTTTATTGGTATTATTTTGAAAGAAAGCCTGAACTGTCTATAGGGAAGGAGGTACATTCAAGGGGAAAATACTATGAGATATATACATACAGATATATTGCTCTGAAATACTAATTAACTAGCAATTTAATGAAGCATGTAAAGAGTTACAAAAACTCACATACTTGACCCAAGAGTAGGAGCTGGTCTGTACATTTCCTTGTATGATCGTAAGTTGACCGTTTCACTTCCTGTAGATTAACCCTTTCTAGCTGAAATTTCTAGAATTGGAAAAAAAAAAAAAGAAAAATTAAGCCTGGATTATGAGAGTCTGGAATTATTTAAATTTTACTGTACTTAATAAGATCACTTTAATAAACTACTTTGCCTTTTCAGGTTAATAATCAACTTTATAGCGTTCCAAATATTTAAGAAGAATTTGGAAAGAAAAAATGTTGATAGACATTATCGCTTGAATGCATGCCTGCCTGCCCACAGAAACTGGCGCTTAAGTAGAGCTGCATAAAAACCTATGTGCACTGAAGCATTCTGCAGGAGGTTAAAGAAATTCTGATGCGAACAGCAAATTCAATTCAAGTGTATAAAGTATTTGTTATTTATAGAAAATTAATGACAATTAAAATGAAGCTAACTTAAAAATGTAGACAAATTAAACAATTAAGACTGTTTAATAATAAAATTTTAATGCTTAGTAAAAAACTCAGTAATTGCCTATGAGCTTTTCAAATCCTGAATCAGGCTTTTTTTAATGCAAATGTACCAAGGGCTTCCTTCCTCTCCTTCCTTTCCTTCCTTTCCTTCCTTCTCTCCCTCCCTTCCTCTCTCCCTCCCTCCCTCCCTCCCCTCCCCTCCTTTCTTTTTTTTTTCTTTTTTTTTTTTTGAGACAGAGTCTTGCTCTGTTGCCCAGGCTGGAATGCAGTGGCATGATCTCAGCTCACTGCAACCTCCACCTCCCGGGTTCAAGTGATTCTCCTGCTTCAGCCTCCTGAGTAGCTGGGACTACAGGCACGTGCCACCACACCCAGCTAATTTTCAAGGGCTTATTTCTATTACTGAACAGTAACTTAGTTTGAAAGTTTCCCAAGTTTAAGATATTGACAAAGATATAAGTAATCAAGATGACAGCTCTAAAGCTTTTGCTATGTGAAGTAGACTACCTGAAAGTAGGCATTTTCGCAGAGCACATCATAGCATATATCCAGTGGGTTGCTTAGTTTGTCTCGAGGAGCAGCTTCTTTAGGAGCTGTTGTGCTGGCTGACTTTTCCTGGGATAAGCTGTGCAGATAGTGGGCAGCGACAGTCCAGAAGTGCAGCTCCGATTCGTCACCATAGAGCCTGGCAAGGATGAAGCAACGTTTCAACTGCACTTGCAGCACACCTGGCCTGGATGGCTTGCTAGAGTAGACTGAAGGACTGGAAGGGAGTGTTGTCACATGTCCACTCGGATACTGGCATGGGGCCTGGCAGGGTGAAAGGGGGAGGCAGCAAGTTCTCCAGCCCTGCTACTGGGCCTCCAACAATACAAAGACCTGACTTCATAGGACCCCTTCAGACCCCAACATCTTTCCGTTCTGTGTTAAGAACAATTATTTACCTGGTTTGCCATTAGCATACCTTTCAATGTGGGACACTGATTCACATTAGGAAGAAGTTCTTCTGGGATAACTGGCTAGATAAGGTATGAAAGTAATGTGCTATTTATTCTGTAGGGAGAGGAGTCTTTTTTTTACAAGTGACAAACTCTACTGTAAGTCAGGATATACAGGTTGTTGCTTCTAAATATAATTTATTGTTATATTTAAATATATGCAGTTTGTATCTGATATTTTAAAACACATATTTTAAAAAGCTGTAGGAGGGAGTGCTTTCCAGAGAGAAGGCCTAGATCTCACATTTTAAATGCAATTTGATTTTTTTCCGATTTGTTATTACTACTATCAAAATTATTTTAAGTTAAATCTAAAGGATGAACTGATACATTTTTCTAAAATCTAAGTGTTTGTAACTAAAAACCCTTAAAAAAAACGAGTTGACTTGAAATCCTTATACAGAATACATCAAACAATATTACCTTGAAACAAGCAGGCACCTCTGCAAGAGAGTGAATTCTGGATCAAGCAACAGTTTCTTTATCTCACTGCGGAAGGAATCCGGACAAAAGTAAGACAAAAGTTTTCAATCAAACAATAAAGCATGGGGGTTGACCAATATACTCTTGAAATGAAAAATTCCAGTCAAATAACATGTGTAGAATTTACACAAAACAAGGTACTTTACTATGACACTGAAATCATAAAAGTTGAAGGGGGCTGAGAGTGTTCTCAAGGCTTGGAGAAGTAGCAGCTTTTGGCCACCACAGGGAGCTGCAGCGCTCTCATTTCTGGTTTATAGGCTTACAACAGTTTTTGAAAGTATCAGCTGCCTAACTACTGGAACAAGAATGCCATTGTTGACAAAGTCATTTTGCTAATCATCAAGAACAGTAAATACTTTAAAGAAGATGACATTCATAATTTATTCTGAAACTATTCCAAAAATAAAGTATCTAAGGAAAAATGGTTAGTGCTTTTATAAATTCATGTTTCTAAAATAGTCAAATACTTAATATTCACAAATCAGGCAGGAAGATATTCTTTAAATCTATAGTTTCTCATTTAAACATAAATGTTAATCTTTGCATAGAAAAAACTAATTATTTTGAATTTTCCATCAATAAAATCTCACGTTTAATTTGTTAAATACTATAATTATATGTAATAGATTCTAGACTGCGAACATGTGTTATGCTTTCCCCAAGAACTCCCTGTAGGCCCATATTTTTTCCTTTCTTATTCCCAGTACATTCTGTTCAATGCCCTTGGCTCTAGGGAGCACATTCATTTCTTAGCCAGACTTGTGCACACCAGCACCTGACACAGAGAACTCATTTTAGAAGCGGGAAGCAGACCCAGAATCACCCTGCGATTCGTCTCCCACTGTGAGGCTTCATGGATGTTTGTAGCAGAGGCAGGCTGAGCTACAAGGACGCTCACACTATGCATCTAGTCCTGCCCTAATGTGAGACCGGAGCAGCTGGTGCTCATGAACTTGGTGAAGACAGATGCTCTCTCACTGTAACTACTAAGTACTTTTTCTGCAAAACAGACTCTAAAGGGAGGCAAACCTCTGTAAACAGAATGGTCTCTTCTTGGGCCATTAATACTTTCTAAAACATAACTTATTTTAATTTTGAAAAGTTGAATTATATTTTTCTTTCTCATATTCCTATTTTTTAATAAAACATGGAGTGCTTACTTAGACAATGAATTCAACTGCTCTTGGAGGAGATTCTTTATTTCTTCATTTTCTGGATAGTCACTGTAAAGAAAAGATTCTGAATGAGTTCATTATAGTCACTGTAAAGAAAAGATTTTGAATGAGTTCATTATCTCTTCACTTAAAACCATGTATTTCTTCACCTCAAAAAAGTTGTGTTAATATAGAGATAATCTTCTTTGTAGTTCTTGGTTGAAAACCTGGTGATAGACCAAAATAACAAAAATCTACTCAGGACCTCACCAATCAACTTTAATATCTGCTTGTATCTTATTGAGTCAAAAACAACAAAACGAGTAAAGAAAGTCTCCTTGGCTTTCAAGAAACCAGGAAATTTATTAGCAGGCTTTAAAATCTATCAGGTTAGATTCCTTTTAATGAAGAACTCAGCAATAACTAAAGGAATCTGCGCATTCACTAAACTCTGCAGAATGAATATTCTGAGGAGACAGTGCTTGGAGAACAGACACTTCCTGGCATTACTTTTAAATGCCCCATCCGTGCTGCACATGGCAGGAGTTCAGTAATATTTGTGAATTTAATTAATAATCACTAATAGTTTCTGTGAATATTTTTTTGCAATGAGGCAAATATTGAGATTTATAAGACACAGTATACCCCTGCAGCTAATGATGCTGCTTTTAAAAAGAATGTGCCTGGCTCCAAATTCCCCTGGCTTCCATTGCCCTCTTCACACGCATCCTTTTCATCATCATGACACATCCATGTTCAGACCATAAGACAAGCACACAGACACCTGAGAGCAATACATGCCCTCACAGCTCCTCACTGACCCACACTTCTACAAAGGCCCCTGAGAACCCAGAGGCAGCCTGGCAATTCTGTAGTGTCTCTACCTTCTCTTGGCTTTAAAGGCTCCATTCCCTTTAAATGCTGGAGTACAGGCCATGGCTGACTTTCATGGGTGTCCTTCAACCCCAAGTAAATTATGAAAGAAAAAGAAAAATGAAAAAACTTACACATGAGAAATGTCCAAAGAATACTGTCCATTCCAAGGCTGGTGTAATAAGAAGGCTTTCAAGGCAAGGGAGGCCCTTGGAACAAGCAGATAGGGGCACCACACAGGCTCTAGACAACAAAGAAAAGTTTTTAAAAATAAAATGAAGTTTTACATTACAATGAAGCTTCAGCTGTAAATCATTTACAGAGAGCAACAGGTAAATCTGGAACAACTGAGAGAATATATTCAATGTAGTCACTGCTTAGAAACACAAGCCAAGAGCAGAGAGTCTCTGCATTCAAATCTGATTAACATATTCTTCTTCCCCTCATTTTATTTTATTTTATTTTATATTTTATTTTAAAGACAAAGTCTTGCTCTGTCACCCAGGCTGGAGTGCAATGGCGAGATCTTGGCTCACTGCAACCTCCGCCTCCTGGGTTCAAGTGATTCTCCTGCCTCAGCCTCCCAAGTAGCTGGGATTACAGGCACCCGCCACCATGGCTGGCTAATTTTTGCATTTTTAGTAGAGATGGGGTTTCACCATGTTGTCCAGGTTGGTCTTGAACTCCTGACCTTGGGCAATCTGCACACCTTGACCTTCCAAAGTTCTGGGATTATAAGCATGAGCCACTACGACCGGCCTTCTTTTCCCTTTTTAAATTTAAGTATCCTGTGTGGTATACAACTCTGGTACTACTTGAATAAAGGATTCAATGCAATGACTCAACAAATAACAATAAAGTTCATTATTTTTAAATATTAAAAATAAATATATTTACCTGTATGTGCCTTTTGTACTTTTGTTTTTCTGAGACTATTCAATTAACATGGCCTATCAACCTTGAGTATGTCACTGAAGGGATCAGGCCACCTGTGATCACTAGCATTCCCAGGTCTCACTTATAATGGCAGCCCTTGAACACAGGGGCTATCCTCTTAGACTCTAGGCCCTAGCATCCCCCACATCCAGCAGCTGGCTTACTTAGAACACTAACAAACAAGATTTGCCTAGTTGTCAACATGTTTCAGTGCAAAGCAGCAGAAGACCTAAAGGCTGCAATGCCCAGCAGCTCTGCTCTGACCACCCTATACTCTATAGGACTCGACCTTAGCTCTAATTTTCTAGGGCTGCCTTGGCTGTTACAACTCGGCCTTATTACCAACTCCCCTCCAGAATCCTGCACAGGCTTTATCCATGGATCCCTTGAATAGATACAATTATGTAAAATGACACAAACTTATAAACAGCTAAATACCGTTGGCTTATTTAAGTGACTGTATTTGTCCGTTTTCATGCTGCTGTAAAGAACTACCTGAGACCAGGTAATTTATAAAGAAAAGAGGTTTAATTGACTCACAGTTCCGTATGGCTGGGGAGGCAAACTTACAATCATGGCAGGTGAAGGGAAGCAAGACACATCTTACATGGCAGCAGGAGAGAGAGAGTGAGGGGGCAAGTGCCACACCTTTAAGCCATCAGATCTCCTGAGAACTCAGTCACTATTGTAAGAACAGTAAGGGCGAAAGCTGCCACCATGATCCAATCACCCCCCACCAGCTGCCTCCCCTGACCTGTGGGGATTACAATTTGACATGAGATTTGGGTGGAGACACAGAGCCAAATCCTATCAGTGATCCACATCAACCTTAGACTGTGCAATTATCCAGTATTATATCCAATATGATAGTCACTTAAAATATGGCTAGTATAATTAAAGAAATGAATGTTTGTCTTATTTAATTTAAACTTAAAAAGTGATTATTGATTCAGTCATTGAATAACTTTTAAGTATGTTTGAAACAACTTGAATACATTACTAGTTTTCAACTGAAAATTTCATAAAATCTAAATAGAGCTTGACTGTTTCTGCTGAAAATTTGTCCTCTAAATTTAGAGGGCAATTCAAGTTATTTTACAATAAATGTAAAATACTCACTGAATTTTGAAGAATGAATACTTTAAAAAAAGTAAAATGTCTCACTAGTAACTTTTAATACTGATTATATGTTGAAATAAAACTTTGGATATATTGGCTTAAATAACATTTTAATTAAAATAAATTTCTTTTTTTTTTTTTAAATGTGGATACTTAAATTTAAACTTACATATGTGGCTCACATTATGTTTCTATTGGAAAGCTCTGCTTTAGAAAACTTCATTCTATGTAGTTAAATAAAAATTAAATTATACATAAAATATTTTATGTGGACTTTTCCATTTAAAAGCCAGAAAGTGATTGGAAATATTTTTAATAATACTTTTTTCACACCCAAGAATTTTAACATTGATTCAGTAAAATCACTTAAAATGCAGTCCAAATTCAAAAGTCCCTTGTTATTCCCCAAATGTCCTGAGAGCTATATTATTTTTAAAAATCTGGGGCCCAGTCAAGGCTGGTACACTGCATTGTCATGTCTCTTTAGTCTACTCCAATCTAGAACGCTCCTCCTCCCTTTTGGCTTTGGCCTTACATGACCTTTTCATTTTTGGAGTCCTGGTCAGCAGCTGTGGAGAATGCCCTACGTTCTAACTTCTCTGTTTTCTGATTATCAGACTCAGGTTAAACATTTTTGGCAGAGTCTGAACAAAGGATGTTGTGTACTTTTCACTGCATTGCACCAGAAGGAACATGTTAGCTGTCTGGTTACAGGAAACACTAACTCTGATCCTCTAGATAAGGGGTATTCACCAGAACTTCCTTATCAGGGCACCTTCCCCCCTATATAATTAATTAGTAAGTAACATGTGGGGGAAATACTGTCAGATTGCATTTCCTATTCTCAAACATCCTTCTATTCAGTGATCTGACATCCACAAGTGATCCTTGTTTGAATTAATTATTGTATCAGGGGCTGCAAACTGCTGACTTTCTCATCTTATTATTTCTGCATTCGTCAGCTGGCATTCTTCTGTCCACCTGAGCTTTTGCTTCTTGCCCACTTCCCCTTTCCTTACTGTGACTATTACTATTGAGTGAGGGTTTCTTTGGTATTCTGCACTTACATCAATACCACCATTAGTTTACATGATGCTCAGACTACCCCCAATTTGACAGGAGAAGCCTCTTATGTCAGGTCCTCCTCGGTTTTTCAATTCCTTACTTGAGTTCCGGCACCACGCAAGATGCCCCAGACCCATCTTGCACTTTTTGTGCCTCTGTCCTGAAATAAACTTTTTGTCCAAGGACCTCTGGCTCCTTTTAGCCTGGAAATGGAATTTACAAAGTAAAATCTGGGTGCTATGTGTGCTCACTGCCATTGAGTGTCATTGCAAGAAAACTCTCTGTGAGCAGAGCCAGGGAATATACATGTTCAAGAAGTCATGATTTTTTATCAATCCAAATCCACCCTTGGAGTGTTTCTTCCCACCACCGCCACTTCACATCTGCATCTCCCTTTCTATCAGCACAGACCCTGGTTCCCAAAAACTGCAATTTCGTTACTAATTTGTTCCAGACTATAACATGCACAAAACAGCTTCAGAATTACTAGTGCCACTGTCAGCTACTCAAGTAAAGTTCAACATTCCTTAGCAATTCTGTCCTTAGAATATAAACCACTAAAGGTGTGCAGTGAGTGAGAAGTTCTGTGTTTTAGTTATTTGAACTGTTTTTTTTGTGTGTGTGTAGTTACGTTACCAATATTTGTTATACAGTTTGGTTCAACTGTGTCTTGTATTCAATTTTAGGGTTTGCTTTTTCTTTCACCCTTGTTTTCACTGTATATTTTGAATATGTAAAATACATAAATGGTTCAAAACTTGAAACTATATAACAAATATAGAGAAGTTTCACTGCTATCCCCATAGTCTCCATTTTTCCATCTACATCCTCTAACTATTCTCATTGGTTTCTGGATTATTCTGTGTACGTGTGTGTTAGTAAGCAAACATATGTGTGCATGCACCTATGTACAAAATTCACCTTTGCACACAAGCAGGCTATACATACTCTTTTACACTTGCATTTTTCACTTACACATATCCTGGATATCACTCCACATCAGGTCATAGAGCTATTCCTCACTATTTTACAGCTGCATAGATTATTCCATTCTGCAGATGTCCCCAAATTTATTCAACCAATCTCCTATGGCTAAGCAGTTAGGCTTTTTCCAAAATTTTGCTATGAATAAATTTGTGTGCATTTTGGTCACAATGTACGAATGTACATCTTAAAATGTATGAATGTACATCTTAAATTCTAAGCACTGGGATTGCTGGGTAAAAAGGTAAATGTGCACGTGGCTCTGTTAGATATTGCCCAATTCCTTCCTACAGGGGTCTCACTGTGAGCAATGGATGAGAGTGCTTATTTCCTCACAGCCTTGCCAACACAGTATATTTTCAAGCTTTTGAATCTGACAGGTAAGAAACAATTTTAATTTGTATTTTTCTCTTTTTAAAATTTTACTTTTTAAATTTCTTTTTCTTCTTTTATCCTTACCAGTAAGAGGTCAAATATTTTTCTTATTATAAATAAAGTTGAGTATCATTTCATATGTTGAAGGGTCATTTGTTTATCTGTTTTTCCCCTCTGTACACAGTCTGTGACTTGTAAATTACTTTCCCCCGGGTGATCATTTGTATTTGGCTTGCTTATTGAACACTTTATTTTATTCTTATTAAAGCTTTTCCTTTGTTTTGAATTTTTTTTTTTTTTTTTAATTTCTACTTAGTCATCTTTTCTTTTACATCTGGGCTATAAAGGAAGGATTGTATCTTGGAAAAATGAGGCTTATCTAACTACCTTCAGAAGCACTGAACACTTAGCACTGAAAAGGATGCAGGTGGCTAACTTACTTACCTTTCTTTCTATTCATCCCTCATAGATGACAATCTATATAATTCTCAAGTCAGCCCCACTCATGTTTTAGATGGTATATGTGTATGTTCTAGGTAGATTCATGTAGTAGTTGTTGGTATTACATCACAGTTTGGAAATGGTAAATGTCAGGGAAAAAAATTAATTATACATAATAATCTTGGAATGGTTCAAGGAAAGTTCTCATGCTGTGTGGTAATTTCTTAATCAATGAACAAATGAAAAGATACAAGAGAATCCACGTAGAAAGCAGCATCGAGTGTTCACATCATGCAAGCAAGACAACATTTACCAAGTCTGAGTAAAAGGAGGGAAATATCTTATTTTTAAAAACAAATACATGCTATTTCCCCAAAAGCAAAATATTGTTGACAGCATCCCAATGAGCATGAACAAACTGAAACTGACCCTAACTACTTCCCTCCCTCAAGTGAATTTAAATCTTTCTTCTGAAGGGTAAAGATCAGCCACGAAAAAGTAATAGGTGATCAACTCACAGCTGTAGAAACTCACCTGCAAGAGCTCATTCACCTCTTAAAATTACACAATTAGAACGCAAAAGCAGTTAGCATCACTGCTGTTTGTCATAGATTCTGCTCCATCTGGGCTAAAGTTATGTGAGGTGTGAATCATAACATCCCGGTTTTTAGCTACCTACATGACAGGAATGTAGAAAATCAGTAACCAAAGAGCCAAGAAGTAAAGCAGTAGAAAAAAGTTACTCCTCCACCACTTGGAAGAGGCAGCAACATTAAGGTGAGCTGGAAGTCTGGGAAGAAAAGGACCCTATTTTGTGATTTTGTTCAGTGTGATTCAATGAGCGGGGAAAAAGAGAGCTAAGGAACACTACTGGTGTTCGGGCAGGACACTTCTTCATTGCACTAGATCGTTCCAGGTTGTTCAGCATCCCTGGACCTCCCCTCATCTGCAAGTCATTGTGAGACATTTCTGAACGCCCCAAGATTACCGAAAATGACTGCGGAAAGCTGTGGCACATGAAGAGGAAAGGTTTGTGCATAAATCTGATTTTGGAAAGCTTCCTTCTATATATGCTTACTTAGGGAAAATGTGCTTAGCAGTGGCCTTTAACACGGGGGAGGAAATTAGGTTGAACAGTCCCTGATATCAAGTCAACACTATTTGAAGGGTGTGGAAACTGCATGATACTAGAATGCTATTAAACAAATCTCATACTCTTACATTCCTTTTAGATGTGGCTAAAAAGACTATTAAGATTTATTTTGATGGCACTTTATGTCCCTGACAAATTAGGCAGCAGATAAGAAAGGTTCTCCAACTCAAAAACAGGAACTCTCATCTTCTAATTTGACTGCCCTCTTTATTGGAGGAAGAAGTGGCCTATCTAAGCTGCTCTAAAAAAATGTACAGATGTGAATCAATATTTTATGATATTCTCTACTTATCAAGGAGAATTGAAGAAAACATAGGAAATACCAATGTCTATGACCTATTTTATTTTTATCCCACGTCAGTAAGCCCCAAATATACTTCTAATTCCTCAGAATAGAAATATACTATATTAAGCTTATTTTCCCCAAGACCAAATTGGCCATGAATCTGGAGGTGAACACACAGATGTCTTTTTTCTCACTTCACATTTACACTACCACAGTTTTCATTCTTTAACATTTATTGAGGGTTGTTCTGAGTTTAAAGCTCAATTTGTGGAATGAATACACAATTGCATTGACCTTTCCTGATTGCTATTTGGATTTTTTTCCTCTTTCTGGCTGAGGCTATAACATTCGAGATTGAGAAGAATTTTAAAAAATATATATTAGAAAAATTTTAAAAGAAACATGTGATCTAAAATCTGGCCACAGGCTAGATGTTCAAGTACGGTATTGAACATGGGTTAATATGGTAGACTCCATTTCTGTAGTCAGTTTAAGAACAAGCTACACCTTGACTTTGGAGCTTTTTAGATTCAAATTTTTTATTAGAAGTGAAGGAAAAGCTCTCCAAACATGTAGACTGCAGTTCCACACTTCTTTACCTAGAATTAGTAACTAATTTTTTTCAAAAACCACCCTTGAAGTTCCTTCAATTTCCTCAATACCTTTAGGTTTCAAATGAATACCAATGCTTGCCCTTTCCTAGGAGGCCATCCTGATGCTTCCCCAGAGCTGGCAAATGACTCAAGGACAGACACGGGAAAGTAGGTCTTGAATTCTGGCTTCACCTGCTGGCAGTTACACAGTAAGAAGTGGTGGTGCCCAAATGCAGTGGGCAGGGGTGGGCGGTGACAAACACCAAAGCACACCTAATGTAAGCTAAAGACGGCCCCACTAACATCAGCAGCAACGTGGTAGGCCTCAAGCATGAGCACAAAGTGAAAAACCAGGTTTTCAAAACCTTACTGTGTCTGAAGTGCCAAATACTGACTCTACAAAGGTTCAGAAAAGTCTCATGAAATTTTATATGTATCAGCCTGGAGTGTGCACCAAAGTTGTGCTGGGAGAATACTCAGGCAAGAAGTTCCCTCCTCTGCTCCAATTAGGATCAACTATCTTCCAAGGATGAACACTGTATTTCATCAGCCAAAAGCTGCCTTTTAAACTGATAAATGGATGCACTCACAATCATCCCATTCTTTTTTTTTTTTTTTGGAGTCACATATGGGGTATATTCTACTAAAATGTTTTTTATTCTGGTAAAAAGCAATATCAAAACAACCATACAAAAGAGAGCAAGATACTACAGTCTCCTAATCTGCTTGACTAGTCATTTTACTAGTCACAGATTGGCATCAAAATTCATAATACTCAGAATACTTTGCAAAGTGACTTTTCAATGATATATGGTTGCAAAAGATGTAAGGCCATTATTTAAAAGCCAGCAGTCTTATCACTAGATTTATGTCCTCTGATGAGTTCACCTAAATTCTGGGTAAGCCATTTTTATAAATGTAAACATCTTTTATCTTGTTAACAAACCAAAGAAAAGAGTCAAAAAAGGGGCACTTATAAAACCTGAGTTGGGAATAACTGACATCTATAGTTACGAAGACTGCAGCATCTCAGCAGTAAAAACACTCAAGCTTCAACTTAATATATTTTCTTAAACTCAGATTCTAAGAAAATAAGACTGAAATGAAACAAAGCAGCAGCTCTCTCCCCAAAATATAGCAGCTTGTGGCAAAGTAAAGACAGGTTCCAAAGACCCCATCATTAGGATTCCATACCGGTTAACTCCTGTTCATCCATTCTAAAGCACGCAGACTTCATAGACATCTCTAGGACTCTGATGCACCCATCATCTGAAGCCAAGATCACTTTATCTGACGTACACCAGTCCACATCCAATATACGAAAGGTCACATTTCTGCCACTTCTTAAACTGCTCACCATCTGAACCTTCAAGAGTGAATTTGGGCATCACTTCCAGACAGAAAAGGAAGATGTTTATTATTCTAGATTAAATGGTCAAGGAAGACAGTCTGTGGCAAAGGCCCAGTGCAAACTGAGAACTCGGCAGCCTCTGGCAATCTTCCTTCCACAAAGAGGCAGCGTTTTAAAGGTCTCAAAGACAGTGATAATATTAAAAAATAAATAAATCGGCTGGGCGCGGTGGCTCATGCCTATAATCCCAGCACTTTAGGAGGCTGAGGTGGGCAGATCACCTGAGGTCAGGAGTTTGAGACCAGCCTGCCCAATATGGCGAAACCCCGTCTCTACTAAAAATACAAAAAATTAGCCGGGTGTGGTGGTGGGTGCCTCTAATCCCAGCTACTCAGAAGGCTGAGGCAGGAGAATTGCTTAGAACCTGGGAGGCGGAGGTTGTGGTGAGTCGAGATGGCACCATTGCACTCCAGCCCGGGTGACAAGAGCGAAACTCCACTTCAAAATAGAAAATAAAAAATAAAAATAATAAAATAAAATAAATAAATAAATCTTGAGTTGTTACCTTTAGAACAGAAATATCGTAAAGTAAAAGTTTTTAAAAGAAAATAATTTGTTATGAGAAACTTGACAAACTCATTAAGTACTTTTCTAAATCGGAAAGAAGTATTTTTTTTAACAAAGCACAGTTCCTATGGCTAACAATCCATTTACATTTTTTCCTCATGGAGAGGGCCTACCTCTTTGGTATCCCACACTTCGGCTCCATCATTGTACATTGCTATTAATTTTTGATTTCCTTTACCAGGAGCAAAACGAATCTTCCTCACCCAACTTCGGTGTGTAGGTATTCCTCTGAAGACAAAGAGACAAAAACACCAATACAATGTAGAGTGAGATCTGGTCATCAGAAGCTATATCTAATGTCTCTCACTATTTCCAGTTCTGACAGGTCTGATGATGGGAGAACCCTTTACTTGCTAGGACTGGGGGCCACATCTGACAGAAAGGGCCTGTCCTTTAAGGTCAGCTAAGACTTCTGCAGAAGCCACTTGCAGACAACTATCTCCTAAGAATGACTGGCTCGAGCTCCATCCTCCCAAGTTTAGGTGAAGGGACCCAAGGTTCCAAGCTACACTTCCACGAGTTTACTGATCCTGCTTGCCAAGTCACAAGCCTCTAATGGAACCATATCAAGATGTCATTTTTTTTTTAACAAAAGAACAAGATTTCATTCTTGGCTTATACCTGGATACTCTGCCTTTCAAGTCCCAGAAATTTAAATTTCCATCCATATCTCCAAGCACTAATGTATCACCTTTCCAAGCGATGCAGGTAATACTACCCATACTTCCCTAGAAAACAAGAGCAACAAACACACATAAATTTCACTATGCCGTATAAGACATCATGATAAATAAATATTTTAATAAAACTTAATTTAAAGGGCTGTGCTTTAGTATGCTTTTAGTCATCAAATCCTAAAACAGACTTCAGACACTAACAAAGAGCTACACTGCCTATCAATTTCAACTATGAAGAAATAAGAGATTGCAACTTGATAGACATTAAGTAGTTACTGGAACTAGATTTAAAGAGAGGGTATGTCTTTTGAGGAACAAATACCTCAAAACAAAAAAAAAGGAAATTAAAGTAACAAAAGGAGAGACGTAAAGGGAAGGTTTTCCAGAGAGCCTACTCAAACTTATCTCACACTGCCTTTAAATCCATTCCAAGGGAAACTTAAAGCTCTTTTATAACTAATTGTGTGGTGATTTTTCTATTGAAAAAAAGGATCCAGAGTTTCACTGATACCTTTTGGAACACTGTGGAATCATGAAGGTGAAGAAATGCTGTTTACTAAAGGCATATGCAGTTTAAATTCATAGAAAGCTTTGCACAGAAGCTACATAAAGAAGCACAACATAAGAATGAAATGCTGCTATAATCAATCTAACTTGGAGGAAGAAAGGAATAAGAAAGGAACTTGCAGTTCTAACAGATGCTTAGAGGCGGTATCATGGAGGGCTCAGCAGCCTGGGCTCTGGAGTCAGACTGCCTGGGCTTGAATCCCAGCTTGAAACTGGCATGTGATTTGAGGTATGTTTACTTAACCTTTCTGTCTTGGATTTATTGTCAATAAAGAAGTTCGTGAAATTTGAGTTGTTGCTAATATTAATAAATGTATAAAGGCAGTAGCCTTAAAGCAATGCCTGCCATGCAGTAGTCAATACATGTTAGCTATTAAATAATATTACTGCTATTTATTAAAAGAAATCTTGTTTTTGCATTTATTGTACAATATAAAAATTCAAATGGTATCCATGGTAAAAAGTAAGAAAATTCTAGTGGTTTGAATAATTGACCATTAGTAGACTAGCATACACACTGAATACTGCATAAACTCTGGTAATAGTCAAGAAACCAAACAAAAACTGGATTTAAAAATCAGTATTATAATAAATTAATTTAAAAACTTAGTTATATTAAAGAAATGAAATTCTGTATAATATGAAGCAACACTTTAAGATATCTACTTTCCTAACAATATAATAGAATGTTAATTAAGAAGTTGCCTTTGAAGAGACTTCTGAAACTAGGTCATAATAGATTCTGCAACTTCCTTCTTGCCGTCTCAGCTCATGTGCTCTAGGAGAGGCCAGTTGTCATGCATGAGGATACTCAAGCAGCCTTACAGAAAGACGGACATGAGGAAGAACTAAGGTCCCTTGTCAACAGTCAGCATTAATGTGCAATAGCCTTGTGAGTCAGCCATCTTGAAAACGGATCCTTCTGCCCCGTCACACTTCAAAAGACTAGCCACAGCCAACATCTAGATTGTAACTTTATGAGACCCCAAAGCCACCTATAAAATTATGGGGGTTGGCATTCTACTAGAGCATTCTATTTTTAGATGGCAATTTAAAATAAATATACATATTTTTTAAAATCCCCTCATGCCTTCATTTAACCATTATAATAGCCTGTATTAGTTAACATAAACATTTTCATGATCCATCTATTAAAAACTATCTATGAGATGCATGCTGACACAAATGATTAATGGCAAAACTTTAGTTACAGATTCCACAAGGCCATAAGAAGGAAATATGTTAGTTAGTAAATGTTAATAATACTATTACACTTACAACCTGATTACTATTATCCAAAAATAATACTAGATTGTAAGTCAAATCCTTCAGGGTAATGCCTGAAATGGAAAGAAGACAGATACTGAAGTCAGACAGGCCTGAGTTTAAAACACTGCTCTGCCATATAAGTAAGCTGGGTAACCTTGGGAAAGTTACTTATTCTCTCTCAGTTTTGTTATAGGTAAAATGGAGATAACTCCTCATGGATTATTATGGGGATAAAAATGAGTAGCACATAGTAAACATTTAATCAAAATAGTTACAGCGTTATTCTCCTGCAGTATTCTCTAGCAGGTTTAATCGAAGATAATATCTCCTTAAGTAAAGTTTATTTACATTAGGCTTTTTTGAAGTTTTCCAACTTAACTATGCCTTCACTGGATATGGAACCAACAAAACAAAATCTTCTGATGAAGATTTAATTAAGGTTGTACTCACATCTGGTGGAATCCGAGCACTATCTTTTACTGAGTTTCCTTCAACAGTGAGATGATAAACTTGGCCATCATTATCCGTAAATACAAAATGTTCCCAGGCAGAGATGTTCTGACTAAGTTCAGATTTACTTTCTGCCTCCTGCAGCAAGCTTTGGGATGGTGAAAAATAAGATAAAGACTTTTCTTTTCCCTAGAGTGATACCCATAATTAATTAACTTGCCCAAAGTACAGATGTATTAAGAGGAGGTCCAAAACTATTTTTTGAAAAGTCTGAAACTAATATTTGCCCAAACTAATTTTGGGTAAACACGAATCACTCCTAAACAGTCACAACATCAGAGGAAGTTTACCCTGGACAGAGAAAAATGGTGATCTAAACTTAATACAAGAGAAATAAACTTCATAGAGGTTTTTGCTATAGAACTCTTCTCAATAGAAGGGAGGCTGTACAGTGACCCAACATTATCTCTGAAGCTTTTTATCTGTAAGATTGGCATGGATGGGGTGGCGCACAAATTTAGGATTCCCAACACATTTTCTTTGGTGTGCATAAATGATAATATGATCTATCTCTATGTCTATGCTATGTTCATTTGAATTTCAGGAACTGAAGTGTATGGAGTAGAAGGGCACTTGGAATGATCACATGTACTAACAGAGGCTGATGGGTGAATATTACTGCATTTGTTATTAGTTACAATAAACAGTATAGTATAATAAAAATGATAAACTTTTTAGTAATCTGGGTATGTACTAAAAGATGAAACTAAGTATATTCAAAAGCAGAGTCCAACTTGCTACCACAGACACCTTTGGATGACACTTGTCAACTTCCCAGACATGACACTAACAGCACAAATGACAGTGTCAAGAAACCCTGTACTGTACCTGATCACAGATGATTCAACAATACTCAGCTCTGTGTCTGAGACCACAGTCTGGCGGGCCATGGCCTCTCGAGTAGCAAGTTGCTTCTTTCTCAGGCTCTTCAAGTTGTGAGATGGTGACCATTCCTGTAAAGCAAAAGCAGGCAGACAAACCGAGACGTGCTAGGTTTCCTTCTGTCAAAGAATCCTCCAGAACAGCTGGGCACACACACCACTGCCCAGTATCATTTATTATTACCGCACATGAATCCACAATTTGTTCTTTAGATTTTACCTACTTAGAGAAAAGCTGAATGAATGCATTTTAATTAGAGCTTTTATGGCAAACTTCCAAAAGGTCTGAGCTTTTGATATTTTTAAAAAATTTTACAAAATGAAAATAATGAATTCAACGATAGTATGGCCTATTCTCATCTCCTCCTTCATCTCTTGTGTGCACAGGATAAGACAATCACAATTCTCCAACCAGGGTCCTTTATCATCCATAGATCCCTCCAAAATCACTTGTTTTATTTATATATTCTTTTATATTCCGCCTATCGTAAAACCTTCAGTCCAACATCCTCACATATGTATAAGTTCTTAACGTGTAGTTATTTCACATGTATTTCTAATTTACATAAATAGTATGGTGTTTACATATAAATGTGTGTGTGTGTGTGTGTATATATATATGTATTTTATCCTGTTTCTTACTCCTTCCACTGTATTTAAGTCCTCTTCCTCCTGTTTCTGCATGCTACATACACTCCATGGCTGCATCAGCCAACTGTTAATCTGTCTCCTCTCTCTCGGTAAAAAACATGCAGATGGTCTCCAAACTCACATCATGACAAAACACACCACAGTCAATATCCTTGCAAGAGCTCGGCAGACACAGAGGATGTCTGTGTTTGCCCAAGTGCTGCCAGTGTGCTTTACAGAATGGCTGCATTGGTCTACATTCCTACCAGCAATGCACAAGGATTCCCATACCCTATGTTCCACCCACACTTGACACTACATGGCTTTCCAGTTTTTGTTAGTCTAGAAGGTAGATCCATATCATGGTTTGAACATCTCTGAAAACTGATGAGTCTGAACATTCCTTTATATGGCTTGTTGGCGTTTTAGGTTTCTCTGCCTCTCATTAGCTCTTCACCAACTTTGTTCATTTTTCCACTAGGGTTCCTGCTTTTTTTCACTGTTGATTTGCAGGAGTTTCTAGTTAAATTTAGATGCTGGAAAATTTGTTTTCCCAAAATGTCTTCTGTATTTAAGTTTGACAATGATATTTTTCATCAAACAAAAAGCATTAATCTTGATTAATTAAATGCATTAAGTTTCTTTTTCTTTTCTTTTCTTTTTTTTTTTTTTTTTTGCCTTTTGGTTTGATCTTCTGATGTCTCCTCCTCCCTCTAGGTCACAAAAATATTTTGCATTTTGTTATATTCAATTGTATAGCTTTACATTTTTTACATTTAGGTCTGTAGTGCTGTAACACTCACTTCTATATATGGTATTAAGTAGAGAACAAGTATTTTTCTCCATAAAGTAAGACAGTTTTCCCAACACCATCTATTACACAGTCCATCCATCCTCTTTGATTTGTGCTGCTTCACTGTATATTAAGTCCCCAAATATTCATGGGTCTATTTCTGAGCTCTTTATTATGTTGACTCACTTCCTATTCTTGTGCCAATATAATACTGATTTTATTTCCATGGTTTTGTAAGATGTACTAATATCAGGTAGGAATGGCAAACCCCACCCATACCTCCCACATTTACTCCTCTTTATTCAAGGATGACTTAGCTATTTAGGACCTTTATTCTTTCATAAATATTTTACTATATGTTTATCATATTCCTCAAAATATCCAAATGAAATTTCAATTGGAATTGCACTAATATAATATTAGGTTGATCCACCCAAGAAAATAAGAGTTATCTCCATTTATTTAGATCATCTTCTCTGAACACACATTTTTAACAAGAAAATATGACATTGGCAGTAATGATTTTGATTCAAGCTTAAGCAAAACATTCACCACATACATATATACCTAAATAAGCTATTTAATTCTTAAACTGTAACTTACCAAAGCAGTTATTGCAGGGAAGTTTTTGGACATTTCTCTAAGAAGGGTACAAGTCCTAACATCCCATAGCTCCAGGGGTTTATCTTTGAATACAACTGCCAAATACTGCCTAAAATAAAGAAAATTGCTAAATAAGCCCCTTTTTGCAAAACTTTCACCACGAATTAGACCAAATAAAAAGTTCAGTAAATTGAAAAACTCAGCTGACGCATTCTAAATATAGACAATTTAAACCACCATTTAGCACCCATGATGAACAGTCCTAAGAAGGTAAAGCTTTAAGATGACCTGTGAGAGAACATATAGTCTCACACAATTGGGCAAGTAGTCCAACTCGGAAGAAAGAGTGACACAGATTCAAACCCTGATGCCGCAACTTATGTTAACCCTCCTGAGGCTCAATTTCTCACATATGACATGGGAATCTCATCATGGACCTCAAAGCATTGATATACAGATTATGGTAGGCATTCAGTGAAAAAGTATGTAAAGTTTCTATCATCCTATTACAGTTGGTATTCAACGAATGCCACTTTATTCACTTTCTGTTAAGCCTGGAAGAAGTACTGAATGATGTCAATGAGTGCAATTCAATAAACATAATTTGAGCATTGATTACTCAATAAGCATTATGAGGAGCTAAAATATTATTCAGCAAATGATGGCTGACATAGAGGAAATGTGACAAGAGTAGGCAGATCCCTGTACTCCCTGTATGAAAGGACTGAGATTCTTCCACTCAGGACCACCTGTGACCCCCAACAGAAAGTAGAAATTTACAGAAAGATACCTGGCAAAACACCCACATAGTTGGAAGTTAAAAAATACACCTCTGAATGACATCCCATGGAAACTGTCAAAGCGTATAAAGTGAATTAAAATGAGAACATATTACCATATCAAAAATTGCAGGATACAGGAAAAGTAGTGCTTACATAGCATGAAATCTTTACATTACATTTTAGAGAATCATCTTAATTTAATTATCTAAGTTTCTATTTTAGAAAACTATGCAAAAAAAAGAAGAGCATATTTAAGAAGTAAGCAGAAGAACAAAAGATAAGCATGATAGTCAATTAAATTGAAAATGGAAAAATCATAGAGAAGAATCAAATGAACCAAAAGTAGTTTCTTGGAAAAGATCAATAAATAAAATTGGTTGATATAATTTACTGATATTAGGAGTGGGAGAGATAATCACTGATCATAGAGACATGATGAACAAGCTTATTTCAATAAATTAATAAACTCAGCAACTTCAACAAAATGGACAGATTACTTGAAAGACACCAATTACCAAAACTCAAAAAAAGGTAGAGAATCTAAATAGTCCTATATTTATGAAAAAAACTGAATTTGTATTTAAAAACTTTTCCACAAAGAAAATTTTAGGTTCAGATGGGTTGCCTAATGAATTTTTCCAATTTAGTAAGAAATAATATCAATTCTACACAAACTCATTATTCAAAAAAAAGGAGAGAGAATACTTTACAACACATTCTGCAAGGTCAATATTACCCTGATAACAAAACGAAGGATATTACATAAAAATGAGACCAATATCCTTCATGAACATAGATATAAAAACTCTTCATAATATATCAAGAAATCACATCCAGCAATATGTCAAAACAGTAATACATCATGACCAACTAGAGTTTATTCCAGGAATGTCATGTTGGTTTAACATCTGAATATCAATCGATGTAATTCACCATATTAGTGAACTTCAAAACAAAAAGAAAAACAAAATAACACACACACGCCATATGATGATGTCAATGAATACAGAAAAAGCATTTGACAAATTCAACACCTACTCATGATACAAAGGCTCAGCAACTAGGAATAAAACTTTTTCAACTAGATAAAGTAAATATACAAAAAATATACAGCTAATATCATACTTAGTGTTGAAAGACTGAATGCTTTCTTAAAGATCCAGGATCAGAGCAAGATACCTGGCAAAGTTCTAAGTTCTAATCAACACTATACAGGAGAGGTCCTAATTAGTGCAAGCAAAAAGAAGGCCTATAGATCGAAAAGATGTAAAGGTGTCTTTACTGGCAAACGAGACTGTCTCTATAGAAAATCCTAAAGAATCAACAAAAGCACCTATACTAGAAGTAATAACTAAGCTTAGCATGGTCACCAGGCACAAGGTCAATATCAAAAAATTAACTGTATTTTAGTATAAAAATAATAAATAATTGAAATTTTAAAACACCATTTATAAAAGCATCAAAGAAAACAGAAAATATAATTAACAAATAATATGTAAGACTTATACACTGAAAACTACAAAATATTGCTGCAATTTTAAAAGACCTAAATAAGTGGAGAAATACACCACGTTCATTACGTTTATGAATTATAAAACTTGTTAAGATGCCAATTCTTCCCCACACTGATTGATGGGTTCAGTGCAATCCCAATCAAAATCTCAGGAAGATTTTTTGGTAAAACTGATAGGTTGATTCTAAAATTTATATGGTAATGCAAAGATCTTAGAAAAGCCAAAACAAGTTTGAAAACTATTTTAGAAAGCTTACTCTTTGTAATTTTGATTGATTTTCATTTGGTTTCTATTTTTAATAATACTGCTTTACATGTTATTTTCCCTTGAAACAAAAAAACTCAATTTCTGGAAGCAAAATGGGTTTAAATTATACATAAAGAGAATGGATTCTTTCACTCAGCAACTCCATGCTTAGATAGAAGTGCATAAGAACTTTATCCGAAAGTAAACAATTCATGCAAAAGCTACCTCATCTTTTTAGAAGTGGAGAATTAAAAGTGATAGCAACTTAATTTTGTAATCAAAATATTTTCTTTGGGCTGCATATCACTATTTCCTATCACTAAAAAGATTCTATGTGCATTCCAGCACATTCCCATTTTCTTAAAGATTAAAAAAATCCATGAGATTTCATTGTGATAACACCATAGATTTTTTTTTTAGGTCGACACTTACTTCAAATGAGATACTTTAATCATTTCGATGGGAGATTCATCATTGCCTCTTTCACCGCGAAAAGCAATGCTCCTACCTTTAATTACAAATATTTAAAAAAGTGAGAACAGTGCATAAAACATGTATGAAAAACAAGAAGCCACACCAATGTAATTTGATCGGTTCTACCCTTCCTACCCTCTGTTCTCCTATTCATTCTTCCATTTGCTTCAAATCTGTTTCTGTTTTTTTTTTTTTTTTGAGACGGAGTCTCACTTTGTCACCCAGGCTAGAGTGCAGTGGCGCGATCTTGGCTCACTGCAACCTCCGCCACCCAGGTTCAAGTGATTTTCTTGCCTTAGCCTCCCGAGTAGCTGGGATTACAGGTGCTCGCCACCACGCCGGCTAATTTTTGTACTTTTAGTAGAGATGGGGTTTCACCATGTTGGCCAGGCTGGTCTCGATCTCCTAACCTCCAGTGATTCACCTGCCTCGGCCTCCCAAAACACTGGGATTACAGCTGTGAGCCACAGCGCCCAACTGCTTCTAAGCTGTTTCTAATAACATAAGTTCAAAGAATATTCTCAAAACTGTTACAAATTAATGATCAATAATACATCACATATTCAGACATTTATTTTGTAAAAAGGCATTTTCATTTGTTACACAGTTTCTTGAATTCTGTAATTCAATTTTAGAAATTTAAAAAAACAATGATAAGTTTTAAGATATCTATAGGAGAGCAGTTGTCTGGTGCGAAAACTATTTATTTAAAGTAACATTTAATACAAACATTCTCATGTTTCCAAATACTAACTAGTGGGGGAAAAACTCTTGAAACATGTATTTAAGATTTTCTTGTCCCATGTGTAAAATACTAGTTAAATATTTTGAAAATGTTTCTCTGAAAACATCTTTATAAACTGGAAACTACGGAATAACTACCGTGTTCATGTATGCTGTAAAAGAATGAGTTACCCACAAAGGAAGCTACATGATTTTCTGTGAATAAAAAAAAGTATGAATTCTAACTTGTATGTTTAGTATCTTGTGATAGATTTTTATCTACATTAAACAAAAGAGAGAACATACTCAATTCAAGGCCATCTGAAGGCCTAAATGTCTTCCTGCTCTTCATTGAGATTCCATCATGTGGAATCTCAGTATACTCACTATTATTATACCCCAAACAGCCCATGTCCTGTCCTAACTGCACTAGTCTGCTGCCTTCCTTAGAAGCCCAGGCTATAAAAGTGTATAATCTATGAACTCAAATATCCCACTTAAGGAAATCAGTAACTGTTACTTATGTGCAAAGCAGATTTTAAGTTATCCAACAGTCCTCAATCTGAGCTGACCAAAACAAATACACAGGGATTTTTTTTTCTTTTTTTTTTTTAGTCAATGGTACTAGACAACAGCATTTTATCCCTGGGATCACTAGAGACAGAGCCAGTACCACTCTGTTGGCAAATTAGGAACTTGGGAATGAGAGTCAATGGGCATGTCACTTCCAATGAAACCAGAGCAGCAACACTGGACTAAAGATGGGGATGATTCCTTGAAGTTTAGTAACACACCCTGAGAAATAAGAACAACTGGATCTTTGAGAGCTTGAAAATACATATGGAGACTATAAAAAAGCGACCATGTACTTCATTTGTTTACAACTTACTTGATTTACAACCATTTTTTTGATTTATTCATTTTACACACACATACACACGCTCTCATTGGTTAAGATCATCTGCATATGATTCATGTTGCTATACCATTTTAAAGAAACTCATCACAATTTTGTTTAAAAAAAAAAACCTCTTTGAAACTACTGCATATTTTCAAATTCTTCACTTTGAAATTCACTGGTTTTAGGCTTTTAACAATTCTGAAAAAGTTACCTTATTGGGACGTTTCCTACTGTAGAATCTTCAAAATCCCAAATTAAGTTTCTCTATTCATTCAGCCAGAGACTATTACAAGTTTTAAATTTGAGCATTTAAAAACAATCCTTAACCTATAAATTTTCTAAATGTTTCCTATGAAGGCCAAAATTTTCAGCAGAGATGCTAATAAAGTCCATTGATAGAGTTATTTTTAAATTGATCTTTTAAAGTTGGTTATATATAACAATGCACTTAAAAGTAGAACTGGTATCCTCCTATGTTTTAATGAATCTGTCTGTTCAGGCTAATGGTCCTCCATTTTACCATGTATTTGTGCCAACAACATTTCCATGCAAACAACAATGAAGCCTTTCTAGGGCAATTATTAAAGAATAAAAGGATAAATACATAAACATGAAATATAAGAAAAAACTCCCAGATGAAAGAAGTACTTTCAAACATGTTTTATAAATAGCAACATGTTTATTCAATATGACAAATCAATTTGAATCTTTAAAAACAAACCTGTTGGAAGATCAACCAGTTGAAGCTCATTTCTCACTAATCCCATATTGTTTGGTGTTGAGGTAGCAAAAGAAAGAAAACTAGTCAAACTTGTCCATTCAATACCCCTATAATAGGAAATGAGATAAAGGTTAAACTAATACTCTTTTTTATTTGAAAGGTTCATTTATTTGAAAAATAAGTTTTCCAAAGACCTAAATTGTATTACGCAAATTAATTAAAAAGTAAGCATGACCTTTTATCTTAACATGACCTTTTATTTGAGACTGTATTACCATACCTAACACATACAAAATTATTTCTAACTAAAACTTTATCTACAAATGTAATGACAAGATAGTTTAGTTATCAAGATTCACATCAGGCCGGGCGCGGTGGCTCAAGCCTGTAATCCCAGCACTTTGGGAGGCCGAGACGGGCGGATCATGAGGTCAGGAGATCGAGACCATCCTGGCTAACATGGTGAAACCCCGTCTCTACTAAAAATACAAGAAAATTAGCCGGGCGAGGTGGCGGGCGCCTGTAGTCCCAGCTACTCGGGAGGCTGAGGCAGGAGAATGGCGTGAACCCGGGGGAGCGGAGCTTGCAGTGAGCCGAGATCGCGCCACTGCACTCCAGCCTGGGGCACAGAACAAGACTCCGCGTCAAAAAAAAAAAAAAAAAAAAAAGATTCACATCAGTATTAACATGACTATTAAAACCTGGCCAGGGAGAGAGTCATATTACAGTAGTTTCAGCCTACCAGACCAAGACACAAACTAACGACCTAAGAAAATCCACATGTACCTCTCTATTTTGTTTACTTCTAAGTATCTTCCATTGCATTATAAGCTTCAAAGGCTTTGTCTGTTTACAAGCATAGAGAAGATACTCAACAGATAATTGTAAAGCATTGTGAGTTAAAACAAGCTTTTAAAAACATACACACGTTGCACTAACTGCTGTCATGAGTCCCCGGCACAGTATACACAAACCTTCAAGTGCTTCAGATTATGATTTTTAAAAGCACACTTAATAAAAGGTAGGAAAACAACTTTCTAAAAGTTAATCTTATTTGGACATGAAAATCTAAAATGTTTTGAGTTTACTGCTAGTAAGTTAAGAGATTTTTATAATACATCCGTGAAAGTTTTTTTTTTTTTTTTTTTTTGAGACAGGGTCTCACTCTGTCACCCAAGCTGGAGTGCAGTGGCACGATCTCAACTCACTGCAACCTCTGCCTCCCAGGCTCAAGAGATCCTCCCACCTCAGGCTCTCAAATAGCTAAGCCTACAGTGTGTGCCACCACATCCAGCTAATTTTTGTATTTCTGTGAAATTTTCTTAATGGCTTTTGATTATAACACGAAAATTACATTAACTGAAACATAAAGCAGGATTTTAGCGTTCTCTTGGCCAGTATCTCTGAATATAAAATACAAATTATTTTGAAAATGTCAATGAAGAGGAAAAATTCATGTAAAAATAGAGTATCTTTGTATGATCATTCATGACATTTATCTCCCTAAGTAGTATATCCCTCAGAGTTAGTATCCCAAGTAACACTTATAATCAATTTCAATGTTACTCAACCATAAATATTATCTTAGCATGTATAAGTCAAGTATTTAGTGACATCTATAACCTGACTAATCCAGGATAATAAACCTTACTTAAAATTAATACCCCTCTGATTAATTAGCTATTAAAACTTTGTGTTTGAAAAAAATGACACCATGTTTGACTTTTCAGAAGCATGTGTGAAATTCTTAGCACAAATCTTGGCTCAGCCAACATTTTAATTTTACTGCCAACATGATTCCTACTAACCTATGTGCGTATTTCAGCAGGAGATGTAGCATATGTACTGTAAGGATAAGTGAAGAGTTCAGGCTCTGAGGCTTGAAAGGCCTAGAGTGAATTCCATCTAGCTCCTTCACAAATTACTCTGTAATTTTCAGTTTCTTACTCTGTAGACTGGAAATACAGTACCTGCCCTATACAATTGTAGTGGGGATTCAATGAAATGATGCATGCAAAGTATTAATACTTAACATAATCCCTAGAGTAAGTAGTGATTAAATGGAGAGTTTCCCCTGGTTAGTGTTGACCATAAACGGAAACACCAGACACATAAGGCAAGGTGAAAGGAAATGTCGAGAGAAGAGTAGATGGGAAAGAGAGAGAGAGAAGATTCAGCAGTGCAAGCAGAGACTACTAGAAGTGCCAGAATGGCAAGCTACAGACACTGCAACAGAAAAGAAGAGATGACTAACAGCCTGAAAGAGTCCAAACAGACACCTTTGTCACTGCACCTCAAAAGCCCAAAGTTTTTAAAGACATTATTCCACGCAAATGTATTTGGGGAGATGCTGTACAGGAACAGCCTAAGGTGACAATAAACAGTCACCTGGGCTGCGCCACACAACAATGCACTTGAAACAATAAGACGATGCAAACTTTTCAGAGATTTCCATCACAATCAGAAGCTGTGATACTTAAAAGGTTAACCTGGCCTGGCACAGTGGCTCACGCCTGTAATCCCAGCACTTTGGGAGGCAGAGGCAGGTGGATCATCTGAGGTCAGGAGTTCAAGACTGGCCTGACCAACATGGTGAAACCCTGTCTCTACTAAAAATACAAAAATTAGCTGGGTATGGTGGCATACACCTGTAATCCCAGCTACTTGGGAGGATGAGGCAGGACAATTGCTTGAACCTGGGAGGCAGAGGTTGCAGTGAGCTGAGATGGCGCCACTGCATTGTAGCCTGGGTGACAAGAGCAAAACTCCATCTCAAAAAAAAAAAAAAAAAAAGAAGGGAAAAAAAGGTTAACCCTTCTCCATTAAGAAAATGCATGTACTCAGGATAATGTGTTTGCTAAGGGTTCACTGAGAATTTTTATACACAAGACCTACATTTAATGTACAGAAAACAGAAAATGACCTTTCTTATGCTTTCACTGAAAGATCATAAAAAAATACTGGAAACTGGCAGGGGGCAGTGGCTCATGCCCGTAATCCCAGCACTTTGGGAGGCTGAAGTGGGTGGATCACTTGAGGTGAGGAGTTCAACACCAGCCTGGCCAACATGGTGAAACCCCGTCTCTACTAAAAATATAAAATTTAGCTGGGCATGGTGGCACATGCCTGTAATCCTAGCTACTCAAGAGGCTGAGACACAAGAATCACTTGAACCCGGGAGGCGGAGATTGTAGTGAGCTGAGATCGCACCACTGCACTCTAGCCTGGGTGACAGAGTAAGACTCTGTCTCAAAAAACAAACAAAAAACTGGAAATTCATATTTTATATGTGTAACTCTACAATCTATCATTGATAGGACACAAAAGGAAAATAGCCTTGCGTTCAACAGAATAATGCTATGGACAGTACAGGTATGCATTCTGGAACAGAAAGCAAGAAGCACTCTTCTGTCAATTTAGCCTTCCCTCAGATAGCTCTGCATACACAGAACTCATAAGCAGATCAGGTTTTAAAAATCAAAGAATAAATGCTATGCAGTGTTCTGATGATGTTTAAACAAAGAATAAATAAGACAAATTAACAATTAAAATGACTTTATTTGAATTTGTCATAAGCAGTCCTACTGATGGATCATCACAGAAATGAAAAATATGCAGCCATAAAAAAGAATGAGTTCATGTCCTTTGCAGGGACATGGATGAAGCTGGAAGCCATCATTCTCAGCAAACTAACACAGGAACAGAAAACCAAACACTGCATGTTCTCACTCATAATGGGAGCTGAACAATGAGAATATATACACTCAGGGAAAGGAACATCACACACTGGGGCCTGTTGGGGGTTGAGGGGCAAGGGGAGGGAGAACATTAGGAGAAATATTTAATGCATGCGGGGCTTAAAACCTAGATGATGGGTTGATAGGTGCAGCAAACCACCATGGCACATGTATATCTATGTAACAAACCTGCACAGTCTGCACATGTATCCCAGAACTTAAAGTAAAATTAAAGAAAAAAAAAGAAAGAAAATGTGGTACATACACATCATTGAATACTATGCAGTCATAAAAAGGAATGAGGTCATGTCCTTTGCAGGGATATGGATGGAGCTGGAAGCCATCATCCTCAGCAAACTAACACAGGAACAGAAAAACCAAACACCATATGTTCTCACTCATAAGTGGGAGTTGAACAATGAGAACACATGGATACAGGGAGGGGAATAACACACATCAGGGCCTGTCGGCAGAGGGCATCTGAGGGGAGGGAGAGCATCAGGACAAACAGCTAATGCATGCGGAGCTTAAAACCAAGGTGATAGGTTTACAGGTGCAGCAAACCACCAAGGCACACGTATACCTATGTAACAAATGTGCACGTTCTGCACATGTATCCTGGAACTTAAAGTAAAAAAATTTAAAAATAATGAAAGATAATAATTTTGAGCAAAATAAATAAATAAATAAAATAAACCTGAACAAGGCAACATAAGGACATCTAGTGAGAAAACAGCCTGGCCCTTAGGAGAAATAAATGAGGTGCAACAATATCAGTTGGTACAAAAATAGCTGTTTTTTGCCATTAAAATTGCAAAAACCGCAATTACTTTTGCAACAACCTAATAAAAGATAAAGCATTCTCTACTGCTTATGTTCTTTAGACAACAAACAATTAGTTATCATTCTTGATTAACATAGCCATTAGTTGGACATGAATATTATTTGAACTTTTCAAATAATCACCACTGCAGATAACATTATGGAGTACTCAATGTAGAAAAGTCTATGAGAATTTTTTTTCTGATATGATGTTTGTGATGTCACCATCACAATGACATACTTACTTGACTTCACATGAGTGGATGCTTAACTCCTTGTGTAGCAGACCACTGGTGAGATGGTACACCAGGACAGAACCGTTACTTGTACCTTTCAAAATGACATCATGGAAGATCATTAATTCAGTGGGAGTTCCAGCACTTTGCAAGAAAAGTCTTTTCTCAAGACTTTAATCACTTAACAACATTTATCTTTTATAAAAGAAACCCAAGCTATGTGCTTAAACAAACAAACAAAAAAGAATGAATTTCTCTGGTCCACTTCCTTATTTAAAAAAATGGGCCTAACCTCATGTGCTCAAAAACCTTGCTTAATTCCAGGAATAGATTTTTCACAGAAAGATCTTAAAACTTACACTAATACACATACTATTTGAAAAACACTTTCCTAAGCTTTTATACACATGGGAATTTATACTTTTTGAGATTCAGAAGGTTTAATATAGCTGATCCTCAAATAAGCAATCTAGCAGAGCTCATTAACCAGGGTTATCCGTTTTTCTTTACACAGTTTTGTTTTTGTTTTGTCTCTCATATTAAATAAACCCTGATGAGAGAGTAAAGTATGATGGTTAACTGCGGTTTCTGCAATTAAAGAAACCTGGGCTCAAGCCCTGGCTCTTCCTTATACTCTTGGATGAATCACTTGCCCACACTAAATCTGTGTTTTCATCTCTTTAAAATGGGAAGAGTAGAAAATCTATTTGTTGGAGATTAAATGGGAAAACATAAAGCACTTAGCACAGTAATTGGCACAAAGTAAGCACTTGGTTAACTATTAGTATCCTGTTATCACTACGATTAACAGTTTACAGTTATTATTCCTAAAGCTTTTCATGGTCTCAGGTAGTATGTCTGAAGTTTAAATGGAAGGGACATGGACATACATGAAAAAGCTTCAGTCTCTGTAGTGTTTTTATAAGTTAAGCAAGAAAAGTGAACAGTCTATGTGGACAATCACTTTCACACTGCACATGATTTAAAAATTAATGAATTCATACAAAGAAAGAGGGTGGAAGCAAAAATGCTGGGCAAATTCCAATATTATCTTATTTGCTGAATAAAACTCCAGAAATCTTTTGCAAAACTATTCTAGAAAAACACATTGTACAGTTATTTACATCTATCATCTATTTTATAATAATACCTTCTGGCACTGAGAAAGTAAATTACTAAAATTTTTCAATTAACAGAACTTCATAATAATCAAATGATTTCTATAATCTGAAAGTTTTAACAGTGCTGAACCTATGATCTAATGCACTAGGGGCACTACAAGAATTAATTCCATAGTTGAACTCTTTATCTTTATTGGTGACACTCTAGACAAACCTTTAGGCACTTATATTTTTACTTTGTTATACTAAATTCAGTAAATGATACTGACTACATACCAATACAGCTTATTCTACAATGGAAATCTCAGACCTTGCCATAGCTCTTATTATATAGCTATCCCAAGAAGTAATTTTCCCCAAGAAATTGAAAAAATCCTAATTGACAAATCAGGAACACTGACATAATACATACATGCACATACGAAGCACACTGCTGAATCCTAATTAAAATCTATTAATGGTGAAATATTAATAGTTTCTAAAGCAAAAATTAAACATTTATCTGCATTATATAAACCTGGACAGATATACAGACAATTGAATCATAAAAATCAAATCGCTTTCAAAACAGAGGCACAGAAAAAAACAGAAGGGTACTACCAAACAGTAATACCCAAATGAGTCTTTAGCACTGAGAAGTCAGCCATGTTAGCCACAGAATAAACATGGTGAGGCTTTCAGTACAAATCACATGTTAATAGACTTGGGGAGAAAGCCAGAAGCCAGCCAATAGCATCTTAAGAAGAAATGTTGAGCTTCAAACAAATACACGGTTTTTCAAAAGTTTTGGAGAAATGTATTTTAATCATGTGTACTTAATAGCAAACTAAATTTTGTTTTTTCTCTATGCTGTAAAGAAAATTAGGTTCATCACATTACTATGAAATCAATGTGACAGCAAGTTGAAACCCAGAATAAATTTTTCTACCTATAACATACAAATACACAATTTCAAACCAAAAGGCAAATCTTAATTTATAGGGACCATAGACACTTTAAATAATATTTGATATATAACTCTTAGCAAAAGAAGAATCCTGCTATTATTAAACTATTAACCCTGACTATACTTTTAGTCAATAAAGACCCAACGAAAACTGACATGACCTAGAGACTGGGGTGGTCCAATTACAGACAAGGAGCCTGGGATTCAGCACTGCAGGGATGAGCCTCCTGATAGTTCAGCGACGAATGGACAGCGTCAGAGACTCGACTGTCCAGTCTCAGGTGGAAGAAGACTTAGCGTTCCAATTCAATATAAGACGGTTGGAATAAAAGGACAGAAAAAAATTTTTGTTTAAAGTTCCAGGATGAGTATTTACACAGTTTCACTTAGCCTCTGACTCCTTTTAAAGCATCCTAAAAGAGAATAAAGGAACTTCTAGAAACTAGAAAACCTAAACGTCTTATAAAGTGAGTTAAAAAAAGACCAGGTCAAATACTCACCAACAGCCAGCAGTGGCTGATACATCTTGATGTTTTTTGTGGTCAACGGTGGACACATACGGATAGCAAACTGTGGTGCAGGCAGTCCTGAGAGCAGTCCCGTCAGCAAGAACTTGAGGTGCACTTCCCGCAGAATTGAACCTCTGGGATGTTCTTCCCCAGCAATTGCACTTTGCCCTGATTTGTAATAAAAATAACAAATATATTAACTATACTGTATGCAGATCTTAAAAAGCTAAAGAAAATTTTCAGTAGAAATGTTCTTCAGGTCTAAAAGTATAATGTAGTACACTAGTGGCTGGAGTTATTAGGGACACAATGACTCCATACCTGGTTATAGGACTTAAATTGCATCGACTAACACATCAAAGGATAGATTACTCCCGAGTCCTGCTATCCAGAATACAGGGACCTATGTATTCTAAGAGACACTGTTTCAGTCAATATTCCTGGTATTAAAGCACTACACAGGCTTCAGAAGAAAGCAAGATAACTTGCATTAGAGAACAGCTTCTTCAGACTGAACTACTGTACTGCATTCTCATTTTACTGCCTTTTGAAAGGGTTACTTTTCAATCTGATGTACGCTGTAAAGTACATACAAAATTGGTATTCATGAAAAACAGGTTTAAATAACTCATTCATAATTTCTAATAAGAAACCTTAATGTGTCAGTGTAATTACAAAACATAAGCTTTATAAGTCAATATAAAATAAATGCAAATATATATTCATAAATCATGTGTATAATATATAAGCCATCACTGTCAATAGTTAAGACTTCAATGGCATATTTCCCAAACACCATTTGTACTTAGGTTAGCAAGTCTCAAACTAAAAAGATGACTCCAATAAAAATCATTCTAACAAAATCTAAATATAAACAGTACAATAAAATCAAGACTGTTCATTAAAAAGGTATACAAATTTCCTTCCTATAAACCACTATAGAATATTGGGATTAACCTGCCAAAAATAGAAAGAATATGCATGTATATACATATACATCTACATACACATAAACACAAACATGTATATAGTGTGAAAGGAAAAATGTAAATAAGTAGGTGGTGAATATAACCTTTTGAAGCTGCAAAGTTGTTTTAATAATGTTATTTTAAAATCCACAAAATATATAGAAAAAATAGCATTTTAATCCTATTAAAATGATCCCTTAGGATTAGCCACATACTCAATACCAATCTCTCTGCCTAACTTTGGTTGAAAAAAGATGGAGGCTGGGCATGGTGGCTCACACCTGTGATTCCAGCACTTTGGGAGGCTGAGGCGGGCAGATCATGAGGTCAGAAGATCGAGACCATCCTGGCCAACATGGTGAAACCCTTCTCTACTAAAAATACAAAAATTAGCTGGGGGCGGTGGTGCACACCTGTAATCCTAGCTACTTGCCAGGCTGAGGCAGGAGAATCGCTTGAACACAGGAGGCAGAGGTTGCAGTGAGCTGAGATTCACCATTGCACTCCAGCCTGGTGATAGAGCGAGACTCTGTCTCAAAAAAATAAAATAAAATAAAAAATTAAAAAAGATGGAATATGAAGGAATAGGAAGCTTAACAGGTAAGGGCCACACATACATATGTTGGCTTTGAGTTGACTCCCAGGGAATGCCACATTTTTCTTCAAGTATTTTCCATCAGAGGCAATTCATAATGTAGGGCAGATTAGGCCTTAATAAGTATCAGCATTTATCCAGTGAATATAAATCAGCCTCTGTATTTACCTGAATTGCTTTCAATTATCACTAAGAACACAGTGAATTTCAAATTAAAAGTTCAAATTAAAATGTTTTCAAGTATGAAGCTTTACTTAACACTTTAAAATCAACTACATTGTCAAGAACTGCTATACAACCTGTATCCATTTGTCTCTTAAAAATGTAATTTATATCACTTAGACACCTAAATAGCATAAAATTTCAAACTTCTATGGGCTCCATATAACTGATTAGTGCTGTTCTCGTGTGTGTTTATAATTCTTTTCACTTTAAGTTTTCATATTAAGAGTAGAAAAGGTGAATTAACTAAAAAAATTGTGTTACCGATAAAACAAATTTTGCAAAACAAGTATTGTTCAGGCTTCCCCATATGGATTTGTGTCTGGTAGAATAGACACCAGAGAGAAAGAATTTTAAATATAATAGTAAGTATCACTGAACAAAACAATTTCATGACTGGCAGAAATCATGAAAAACCTGAGGCCTAGAGATGGATGACGGTCTTGCCCAAGATGACAGTGGAGCTGTCAGGACCAGAGGCCATTGCTAAGGAGCAGGCTCCGGAGCCAGGATTACCTGGGTCACACTTTGGCTCTTCCTGTGTGACTGTGTGGTTTAAAGCTTTAATCTCTCTGGGCCTCAGTTCTTATATATATCAAATGGAGATGATATTACTTACAATGCAAAGTTGTAGCAAGGTAATACATAGAATATTTAGCACAGCACTTAACACAGTATTAAGTACCCAATAAATGTGATCTGATTAATGTAATTAATAATGTAATGCTTTTTTTTTTTTCTTTGAGACTGAGTCTCGCTCTGTCCTGAGTGCAGACTGGAGTGCAGTGGTGTAATCTTGGCTCACTGCAACCTCCGCCTCCCAGGTTCAAGCGATTCTCCTTCCTCAGCCTCCCGAGTAGCTGGGACCACAAGCACGTGCCGCCACACCTGGCTAATTCTTGTATTTTTAGTAGAGACAGGTTTCACTATGTTGGTCAGGCTGGTCTCGAACTCCTGACCTCAGGTGATCTGCCCGCCTCAGCCTCCAGAAGCTCTGGGATTACAGGAGTGAGCCACCACGCCCGGCCAATGCTCCTTCTAGTACATCACCTATCTAGCGTTTCAACAACAACAATAAAACCCTCCTTGGTTCATTCCAAGCTGAGGAACCAGCAAACAGCAAGGTCCTGAGTTGGCATGGCATAATAGCTCAGCATTGGCTCTAGGTCCAAAATCCAGATGCCTAATGTCATTGCTTTCATTTATATCAGTCTCTCATGAATGAACGTCTTCTATTTCTAACAACTATAATGCAAACCTGTGCTACTTCAGGCACTTTTCTACTTAAGTATTTTAAACCCCACTGATTTATTTAGGAAAGAATGATTCCATGTTCTAGTTTTCTCAAGCATTAACTTTTTTGACTTTAAAATAATTACAAGTGAGTGATTCTATTAATTTTGCCCTTCAGAAAGAATACTTAACATGGAGTTAGAAGGGAAAAAAGCTTACCAATCATGTTATCTAAGGAAAGGTCTGGGAGTTTGTTCTGTAGCACTCCTACAGGAATTCCACAGAAAGACACTGGTGAATATAAAGGTGACACACCAGAACTACTGCAAAGACATAATAATTAGAAGGTTTTACATATTTAAAATCTGTATTACATATTAGGAATTCAAATTATTAAGTCCAGATCATGGCATTCTATTTTTATATTATTCATTCATCTTACCCATAGGTGAAATAGCTCTAGCAGATTTACATAATTCCCCAATAATCTAAAGCCTTAATTATTACCTTAAAAATATTTTTATAGAAAACCAGCCCTCCTATTTTTATGATTATGGAAATTTTTTATAAAACAGAAAAAAAAAAAACCAAAACCATGATCCTGTTGAATTTACCTGTTCCGCATATTTCGATTACAAACTGCAGACTTGAGTTCCCATATCATGACCCTGCCATCACTCACTATGAGGGCGGCTGCATTCTCATTGACAGGACAGCATACCATACTGAAGGGACGGACGGTTTTTGTCACCCTGATTGCATCACACTGGCTTCGTAAATCATAGGTAAGCTCCTGAACTGGATCTGGATCTTCACAGAAAATTGTTTTAAATATGAGAAAGTAGCCATATCAATACCACTACTGTTTGTTTTAATTTAAATAAAACCTCAACTAAATTTGGGTATCACTCCTTCATGAATGCAATGTCAAGCATGGCTTCACTTTTTACAATTACTATTAAATTTTTTCTGAATATAAAGATAATTCACTTAATGACTGTACTAAGTTTAATCTCCAAAATAACAACTATAATCAAGATATCTTGTTTTTCAATATTTTTAAAATAAAGACAATGCTTTGAAAAAGGATCAACAGTGATATATAATTAATGAATAAATTTCCATCATAATTTGTAGTAGTCTATAAGCCTGAAAATAACTGTACTTTCCAAAAGATGTGAAAATCACTTTGATCTTTACACAGTATATAATTTCACAAAAACATTATTTCCATTCTCCAAGATAAGACTGACTTGACCACTGAGACTTAGTAACCTCTGTCACTTTATAATGGAAGTTCTTACAGCCAACAAGTCAAGGGGGTATAATAACAAAGGCACACAAGGTTGAACATGCACTGAAAAAACATTCCAGAAGATAATATCTACTTGGCTCATGGACATGATCAAGCAATACAAAATTTTACTCTCTTTGATGTATACAGGAGGCGCACTGTTTTAACATCAAGAGATTAATCTTGGGCTTATACTTTTTGATGTCTTTATTATAACCATGTTTTAAACTTCCTCAAGGCAAGGAGTATCATTAACTCTATGCCTTGGCTGGTATTTGCCACATCAAGCTTTATAAAATAATTTTGAAGAAAAAGATAACATTATTGTGAGACAGAAACTTACCTGGTTCCTCATTTGAAGTGGTGAAAATGTTATTATAAGATCTTCGAACACGTAAAGTTATACAACCATTTTCATGTAGACAAAATAAACCATCACGTTGAAAGCAGGGTATCACCTTTAAATAGACGATTTATTTATTTTTTAAAACACAATAGATTAATAAAGTATATACTGTGAAACTCAAACTCATATTTAGGTAATATGGGTGAAAGAAAAAAAAAAAGAAACAAAAATAGACAAATCTCCAAACTTTAAAACTAAATGTACATTTAAAATATCCATTTATAATCCTAAAATAATTTGTCTTTATCCATGTAACTTAAATAGTTCAATAAATATCTCAGGATCAGTCACAATTTCTAGGATAAATCAAACCAATCAAAAGTACAGAAAAAAACTCAATCTAAAATCAATCTAAAATAGTGTTGTTAGTCTTTCAATAAATCGAAAAAAGAAAGTGGAGAACTGAAGACAAGACTTATGCAAGATTATGGCCTTCTTTTAATATAACACTCTTAATAATTTTGGGTAATATAATTTATGAATTGTAGATACCTGTAAAAACGGAACTCCTGTGCGTTCTATTGCAATCACACCCACTGTCTGATTCACCTCAAGGTCAAGGATTAAAATCTCTCGAGGATAGAGCAACAACATGTGATTCCTTTTTGAAGGCAGGTATGCCAACTGAAGGCAATCATTGAGAGTTATGAATTCAGCACTGAAAAAAGTAAACATTTTACTTGGGTCAAAGACTTCATTTATAGGAGAGCTAATAAAAGATTTAATTTTGTACTTTACACATAAAAATTGACAATAAAAATGCACAACTCTTGCCTGAAATGACCAACATGGGTTGGCATCCAAAACTTAGACCTCTACTATGTACCAAAATCCAAGCAATAATAATATTGTATAGGATGGGTAGAAATGTCAGTGTTTCTAAGTTTTTGAAATATTAAGTAAAGTAGTATAATATTATTAAGTCTATACAAGACATTGTAAATGATGATATAATAATAGCTGGCATGGATAAGATAGTTTTATTTTACTTTTACTTTGTCATTAAAAGTACTAGACAAACTGTTAAAATCAAGACTCAGGATGAAAACATCAACATTTAGGGTAATTAGGGCCCCTGGACCAGGAGTTACTGGACTATCTGTATGGCTTTGGGTAAGTAACTTCCCCTTGGCTGCCTTCATTCACTTTTAAGCTATCTTAAATCTTTTTTGAGACAAAGTTTCACTTATATTACAGCATTTTCTTGTGTGTAAATAAAACAGGTCAAACTACAAGGATTTTAAGAGACTGTTAGGGTCTGAAAAATCGTTTTAATAATTTGTGATTGATTTGTGATTGCCACATACATTTAATCACCTTTTCTATATCAAATATATTTCAATAGGAATAGACATACAATTATGTACTATTTTCATTTTACATACTAATTTTATTAAAAGGCTTTGAAATTTAAAATAAAGTTAGTTTACAAGACTAGAAAGAGGCATTTTTATTGCATTAAAATCCTGACTGCCATGTCCTAGTTAGGTGAGCTTGAGTAACTGTATTTAAATTGGTGTGGGACTCAGTTTTCCTTATTTGTAAAATGAGAATATTACTACTGCCAGAATTGTAGTAAGAGTACATGAATTAATAGATGTGAAAGCACCCAGAGCAGTTCTACTTGAAGAAATAATGTATTTCCCCAATAATTCATATCAGAGAAAACTTAAGAAATATAAAACTAACTTATAAAACTATTCAGACTGCCAAATAATTTCTTGTTTATGAGAGGGAATACCTAAAAATAGAAAATTCTCTTAAGATACTTAAGAAGTAATCTTAAGTCATTTTGGCACAGGGTGAGAGATAAATTAACTGGTGAGCTTAACCAGCCTATGGTTTAATATATAAAAGTAATACTTACACACGTGCAAAATGTATTTGTAGAGCTATTTGTACCACATATTTTTCAAGTAGTTACTTACCAAGCCTAGAGAGAGTAATCTTGGCATACTAAAAATAAAGGCTATCTGAAAATGAATGCCAAAACAAACAAAAAAGCCTGCCAAAGCAATAATATACAGATTATAGCTATAGGAAAAAGAAAGAAACCTATTTCGAATACATCAAATTACTTAAAATAAACTTTTATTCAGTTGTAATTTCTTAAGCAATAACAGCCGACATCTTCTAAATAAATTACTAAGTATCAATGGCATTATATGTTTACTTACATTATCGGGTCTATTGATCTTTAAAACAACCCTACGAAATACTTTAAAGCGTTACATTAGAGACTGGGAGAGAGAAATTTGAGTAAGATTAAGGTAGTTTCTCAAAGTCACATAGCTACAGCTTCCCCCGGAGCCTTGACTCTTACCCAGGATGGGAGACATCCTTACCTGCATAAGAAAAACACTCCGATTTTACTGCTTAATGAGAATGCACAGCACTTAAGTCAGGAAAATATATTTAAAATGAGTATCCAGCTTTTGTGCCCAAATTTTTAATGCATTCAATGACCCAAACTTCAGGATCATCACGATTTTCACAAGTAAAAATCAGAATTCAAAAATTTTAATCTATAAAAGTTAGTGGGGAAGTTGAGCACAGTTAGTGGAAACAAAGCCAATGTTAAATGCTGAATCTCCTCTTAGGGCAGGGAACAAAATAAATATGTTTTTCCTCTAATAAATTCAAAATTAGAAATGAGAAAAAGTGAGATTAAAAAAAAATCAGTCTTTGTACATCTCCAAAGATGATGCTTTCATATAGGATAAGTAGATGAATGTTGTTATTTTACACTTGTAACTTACCTAGGTTTCTCTTGAGTGATTAAAATTTTTACTTTATTTAGAGCTTTCTTGGCACCTGTGGCTGTGGCCAGCTTGTTGTGAGCTGGGCTAGAGTGTGGGCTGGATATGTAAACTTTTTTCCCAGGGCCTGAGGGAGGCTTGGATGGGGAGAAGTCTGAGATGAAAACAATGCCCTCGCTGGTGAGCACTATATTGAGAAAAGCAAAACTCTGATTAAAGTTTAATCAAGTTTAGCATACAGTTTTATTCCAAGACAATTTTGAGAGCAATATAATGATAATTTTAATAATATATAACTGGCAATGTTACGCAGTCATAACATAATGGGAATGTTCTCCAAGTTGAAGAGAAACAGGTGATCCATTACAATTCATCAGAGGCCTCCAAGCTTGGCATTCTAAATTATTCTTATATTAAAAAGATAACATAAGGTTATTGGCAGAAAGAACAAGTGTTTGTTCTTGTAAATAAATTCAGTGCATGGACTTTCATTAAAAATCTTTCCTTATTATCCCAAGCACTTTGGGAGGCAGAGGAGATCATGAAGTCAGGAGTTAGAGACCAGCCTGATCAACACGGTGAAACCCCATTTCTACTAAAAATACAAAAATTAGCCAAGTGTGGTGGCACACACCTGTAATCCCAGCAACTCAGGAAAGTGAGGCAGGAGAATCGCTTGAACTGGGAGGCGGAGGTTGCAGTGAGCTGAGATAGCACCACTGCACTCCAGACCAGGTGACAAAGCGAGACTCCATCTCAAAAAAAACCAAAAAACAAAGAACAAAAAAAAACTTTTACATATCCCATAACTTAAAAAAAAAAAAGCCATACTTAAGATGCTCTGCATATCACAATTAGCTAAGTTCAAATATTTGATTTGATGATACCAAATTTTTATCCTGAGCTACTCAGTCTAAATATATTTCCTTTTTCTTCTCAAGCATCAGATCAAACCTTGAGATGATTAAAGAATATTATTTTCCCTTAATATTTAGAAAAAAAAGTAGTGGACCCACAGTGACTTACTAAGTGTACATGAAACAAAAATAGTCAAGGAAGGAGCACTATATTTAGCAATACAAATTATGCCTTTTTATGACTGAAAAAATGATCTCCCTCAACAAGGGACTAATACTGGAAGATATGAGCAGAAAAACCTTACTACCCTGGGTCCCGGCCCTTAGCAAGGCTTCTCTAAGCACAGGGAACAAGGGCGCATTCAAGAGTTATGACAGCCCTAGCAGCACATTCGATCTGAGTAAACCAAAGGTGTTAGGTCAGCTGACACTCTGAAACACACAATGCTTTCATCAACCAAACTGCAGAGATGTAAAGAGCTGATGCAATCAAGTTAGATGAAAGTCTTGCTGCCTTTTCAGGTTCCAGAACTCATCCTTCAAGGTCCCCTTTGCCTCCCTTTCTTTGTGATGCCTTCCTTCCCTGACTCTGCCAACTGGGCCAGCCCTCCTAGGTGTTTCCCCAGCACTGCACCTAAGTGAGTAAACTGGTGACCGAGTGAGTGTATGTATGCACACGTTCATAAACATTTATATACGTAAAAGCCTAAACACACTGTAGCATATTTATACAGCCACATTTCCCATGTTGTTATAATTTCGACTTGTCTGCCTTTCTTTTCCTCCTTTAACACATGCAGACACCACATGCCCCTCAATGAAAGTTGATGGGTAAAACAATTTTGAGTCATTCAAATCCAGGAAAAACATTCCTTACCATAGCTAATTTCCTTACCTCCTTCACATTTCTGATCATTATCAAAGTGAAGCCTACTTTGACCACTTTATCTCATACAACTTGCATGCCCTCATCTCCCATTCTTCTGCATCCCCTTTATCCTGTCTTTATATCACCTGTCACCTCTTACTACACTAGAATTTATTAATTCATTGTGTTCATAGTTTATGATATGACTTCTTCTCACTAGAATGCAAACTCTGTGAAGGCTCCTGCCTTCCGGGTTCCAAGACATCTTGGTTCCCAGAAGAGTAGTAATAGCGCAAGAAATATCTGTGGGATGATTAAATATTTTCTAAACAATTTAGCCATAAAAATATCTAAAGCAAATCTCATTTTTAGACCATTAGCTCAGGAAAACATTAAAAGCATATTAGCAAAAACTACCTCTGCAAGAAAAAATTTGCTTAGGCTTATTTCTTCTTTACATGCATCTGTTTATGGCACTCAAAATGAATGGCATGAATTAGTACAACTTTTTAAAAAGCAAGAACTTAACTTGGCCACAGACTGAATGAAACCCTTGATTCAAGTTATTTAAATGTTCTTAGAAAAACTAATTAAGTCTGGAGTGTCAAAGTAACTCTCTGTCCCTGGCTAGTCTAATACCATTTACAAATTCAACACAGAGAAGGTGTAGCTTGCTGATTTAAATTTTTAATTATCACATTTGCAAATGATTGAGTATATGTATTAGGAGCTGCAGATATATGGACTAGACACGCTTCTCCACTTCGCTCAGTCATTTTAACATTATAGATGTATAATGTGTGTGTCTATATCTCATGTACATAGCATTACTATATTATAAATATCTCAACTCGTTTTCCACAAACAACTGTTACTCACAAGTTAAATGTGAGGGATCAAAAGGGTCAAAAGAAAAAGAAAGAATGTTATCTGCGTAGCTCTTCTTCCATAGTTTGGTGCCAGTGTCTGCATTCCAGAGCACAATGTAATTTGGTGGGTGGATAGCAAGCAGTAAATCACGGGAAGCATCTTGATTCCACAACCACTGAACATCTGGAAAGACCAGATAAAGAAAGGCAAAATTCAGAAACCACACTCTCCAAAATCCTTGGCTAACTTGTCCTTGATGTTTAGTTTTTAAAATATAATCCTTAAAAACTTAACTACCGGCCCCAAATGTGACGTGTGTGTGTGTGTGTGTGTGTGTGTGTGTGTGTGTCAAGATTCCAGGAAAAAAACAACTTTAAGTTGTCTGGTTAAAATCTCAAGGTCAAAATTTTGAAGTAATCTGAAATATTACTTCAAAGAAAATAAAAGGCAATTTGCCCTAATCATTACTTAAAACTATAAAATCAATATGAAACTCTCCTAGCCACAACCAAGATGTCAGACTTTCCTAATGTTTCTGTGGAATTACTTAATGGAACTTTACAGTTTTTCATGGTTTTTCAAAAAATAAACAGAATATGTAAAGATCCAGTTCAGTACCTAGTACACAGTTAAGTATTTAATAAATATTTTTAAAATAGTCATTTAAAAAATTCATTCAGTCAACAGAGCCACTAGAGGACTTGAGTCTAAAGAATACTATACTGGTTTTAGGTCAGTAACATGAAATAAGCAAACAAGCAATCTATATGAAAATGAGAATAAAATTTTGTTCATCTCTGTTAATGAACAAATTACTTAATGTAGAGTAAGCACTGATGGCTAGTTCCTAACAGCAGTGGCCAACTTGCCTTATACTGTAGCTTAGATTATAAGATTGTAACACTTAATTTTTCTTATCATGCTTGACTGAGGCTGATATTGAAATTAATGAGTTTTACCAAAGCACAAATCAGTTGAGATTTGAAGAAATATGCCTAGAAGTTTATTATAATGAGGAAAGAAAGCCAGATTTAGATCAGTAGAATAGGCAAAACACAATCAAGAGCTAACTTGGAATTGATAAAATTAAATCAATGGGGGAAAACTCCCAAAACCAAAAAACCACTCCAAGAGTAAGTATATCAATATGCCCACTTGGCTGAGCAGACTTTCCTCACCCTGGATGGGCTTGGCATGCTCTTGGATCTCACACTGAGCTACTCCTGCTGCTACATCCCAGACGATGATCTTCCCATTGACATCAGCAGAAGCTAAGCGCAAGCAATATGGTGAGCCAATGTTATGGTGATAGTTTTCCCTGGCCCATTTAACCTAGTATCAAGAAGAAATCAAATCAAGTAAATACTTGCACTGGATGAAACGGAACATAATTTTCACAAAACATCAACCAGAACCCATACTACATTTATATTATATAAATATTTAGCAAGAATAAACAGAAAACTGGTTTTCATTTTGAAGGCAGCATTTTTATTACTTTGGTATATATTTTTAACTGCAGTTAAAAAATTGTTTTTTAACACATCACAATGCTCCTGCTTTAAAATATGAAAAATGATTCACAGCCTTAATATTTTGGGAAACTTAGGTTAAAACCCCAGGATGCCTTGGAAATCAGTTTTCCTAAAATCTAATTTATGACAAAATACCTAAAATCATATTTAGCAGAATGTTTTTTCTGTATTCTAGTCTCCTAACCAAAAGGGGACAACTTAGAAACACAAAAACCTTGCAGAGGGAAAGTTAGGAGAAGGCAAATGTAAACAAAAAACTCTAGCTGTCTCCCTCTTTCACAAAACATTAAGTTTTCCTCTAAAAAATATATGTATATGCTTCATGTCTCTAGCAACAATATTAAGAAAAGAATTTTTAAAATAAAGAAACACAAGAACTCCAGGGCAAATCTGATTAAATTCTTGAACAATGAATACTGACAGAGTAAGGGATAAATTTCATAGTCCTCACTAGGAGTCAGGTGTTCCCTGGTCACTACCACCCCTCTCTTCTCAGTATCCTGTTTATTTTCTTCAAAGAATTAACTACACAATTTGTACTTATTTTATTTACATTTTATTTACATTCTTTTTGCCTGTTCATGAGTCCATCAACTGTCAGTTCCATAGGGCAGACCATGTAGTCTCTGTTCACATTTCTATTCTCAGACTTAGTACAGTGTCCAAAGCTCCGCTTAATAAGTAGATTTAAATACCACAAATCTATAAATATATACAAATGTATATATCTATACACGTGTATAGAGATAAATACACTCATATATAATGCTAAGGTAGGAAAGTAAGCCAACCAGTTGCAGTAGTATTCATGAAAAAGATGGAAACAGCGTTTTCTGAAAATGAGTGTGAAGGTTTTCCTGGAATAGATCTTTTGCTCAGGCAAAAATTTTTAAATGAAGTGTGTATGTGTATATATGCATATGTATGTGTGTATGCATATTTGTATGTGTATATGTTTGAATATGTATCAGTTTGTAGGTATAGAATGTGTATGAATAGAATATGTATAGTGTATATATGTGTATACAGTCAATTCTAGTTATTTATAGATTCTGTATTTGTCCATTTACCTACTCACTCAAATTTGCAACCTCAAAATCAATACTTGCAGTGCTTTTGTGGACAAGTGCAGAATGGTAAAAAAATGTCACCCAACATACATGTGCGTTCCCAGCTAAAGTCAAACAAGAATTCTTGCTTTAGCTTTTACAATTGCAAAACAAGTGTTCATGTCATGATTTATTTAGTACCACATTTTTCACATTTTTGTTCTTTTTGCTGGTGATTTAACTATTTAAATAGGTCCCCAGGCATAGTGCTTCTACTGTTTCTAAGTATGAGAAGTTGTGATGTGTCTTACAAAAAATACATATATATGTGATAAGCTTTGCTCAGGCATGTGTTGTTGGCTATGAGTTCAATGTTAATGGATCAATCGACATATTAAATAATACGTCTTTAAATGGAAACACATATAAAGCAAGGTTATGCATTGATCAGTTGATGAAAATGTTGTGACCAGAGCCTCACAAGAACCTAACCCCTAGGAGCAAACAAAGTTTCAGTATTCACTAATTCGGTGTACGCAACAACTTCACAGAATATAGCTATCATGAATAACAAGAATTGACTGTCTCTATGTGTATATATATATTTGTATATGTGTATATATTTGTATATGTATATGTTGAATCCCATTTAGGTAAACTCCAAGCCATGTATATATAAACATATTTTTTAAATAATCAAACTAATGAAAACCAAGGTTAAGGAAATCTTGAAGGTAATCGGAGGAAAAAAGAAATAATGCTGAGAAACAAAGACAAAAATTTTTCATCAGAAACTATGTAAGCTGGAAGATAGTGGAGCGATTTTGTTGTTTTTTTTTTTTTTGAGACAGAGTCTCACTCTGTTGCCCAGGCTGGAGTGCAGTGGCACCATCTCAGCTCACTGCAACCTCCACCTTCCAGGTTCAAGCTGTTCTCCTGCCTCAGCCTCCCAAGTAGCTGGGACTACAGGTGTGCACCACCACACCTAGCTAATTTTTGTATTTTTAGTAGAGATGAGGTTTTGCCTTGTTGGCCAGGCTAGTCTCAAACTCCTGACCCCAGTGATCCATCCACCTCGGCCTCCCAAAGTGCTAGGATTACAGGTGTGAGCCACTGTGCCTGGCCAATGGAGTGATATTTGTAAAGTATTACTAGAAAAAAAAATTGTAAGCCCAGAATTCTATATCCTTTGAAAATTATCTTTCAAAAACAAAGGTGAAATACTTTCTCAGAGAAATAAAAGCTAAGAAAATCAACCGGTATTAGACAGGCACTTCAAGAACTTACAGTAAATTCTTCAGTAGTTGGGAATATAATACCAGACTGAAACTTGGACCTACATAAAGAAATAAAAGCTCCAGAAATGCCAAGGGGCAGTGTAGGGGAAAGGAAACAGAGAGGGAAAGAGAAGGTAAATATATTTTTCCCAAAACACCCTATACTTTACATCAGACTTGATGAAAGACTGAATGCTTTCCCCCTAAGCTCAGGAACACGACAAGAGTACCCTCTCACTCCTCCCATTCATTGTAGTAGAGGTCCTAGCCAATGCAACATGGCAAGAAAAAGAAATAGAAGACACACAGATTATCAAAGAAAACATTAAACTGCAGTCACTTGCAGTGACATATCTACTTAAATAAATTCACCCAAAATTACTATTAAATAGATCTAAGTGAAGTTAGCTAAATTACAGAATATAGGTCAATAAACAAAAATTAATTGTATTTTTCCCTACTTCACATCATATATAAAAATTAACTCAAAATGGATTAAAAGCTAAAGCTCTAAAATTCTAAGAAAAAACCAAAGGTATATATATCTTCTTGATATTGGAGAAAGCAATGGTTTCCTGGATATGACACAAAAAGTACAAGTAACAACAATACAAAATAATAAATTGGACTACATCAAAATGAAAAAGTTTTGTTCTTCATAAGACACTACCAAGAAAGTAAAAAGATAACCCACAAATTGAGAGAAAATATTTGCAAATCATGTATCAATCAAGGTCCAAAAATATGACATGAAAAATTCTAGAAATAAACAATTCATAAATTATGCACTTTTCTGAATAGCATGATGAAATCTCCCACTGTCCTGTTCCATCTTGCCTCAATCATATATCATCCCTTTGTCCAGAACATCCATGCTTTATCCAGCACTTGCCCTTAGCAGCCACACTGATTATCAGATCAACTGTTGTGATATCTCAGTGCTACATTCAAATAACCCTTATTTTACTTTATAATGCCCCCAAAGTGCAAGAGTAGTAATGCTGATGTATTGTTATAACTGTTCTCCTTTATTATTATTAGTTATTGTTAATCTCTTATGCCTAATTTATAAACTTGATCATAGGTAAGTATGTATGAGACAAAATGGTACATACAGGGTTCGGTTTATAAACTTTATCATAAGTAAGTATGTATGAGAAAAAACACTATATATATATATATATATATATATATATATATATATATATATATAGTGTTTGGTACTATCTAGGGTTTCAGGCATCCACTGGGGTCTTGGAACATTTCCCTTCTGGATAAGGGAGGACTACTGTATACAAAGAAACCTTACAACTCAATTATAAAAAGATAAATAATATAATTTTAAAATGGGCAAAGGACCTGCATAGACATTTCTCCAAAGAAGATATACAAATGGCCAATAAGCACATGAAAAGATACTCCACACCTTTAGCCATCAGGGAAATGCAAACCAAAGCCACAATGAGAATCAATTCATACCCATTAGGATGGTTATAATCAAAAGAACAGAGAATAGCAAGTGTTGGTGAGGATTTGGATAAATTGGACTCCTCATACATTACTAATGGGAATGCTAATTTGGAAAACAGTCCAGCAGTTCCTCAAAAAGTTAAACAGAGTTACCATATGAGTCAGTAATTCTACCCCTAGAAATATACTCAAGGGAAATGAAAACACAAGTTCACACAAAACTTGCACATGAATGTGCAAAGCAGCATTATTCGTAACAGGCAAAAAGTACAAAATATCCAAACGTCCATCAATAAAATAAATGTGATACGTCCTTACAGTGGAATATTATTCATCAGTAACAAGGAACAGAGTATTGATATATGCTACAACACAGATGAACCATGAAAACATTATGCTAAGTGAAAGAAGTCAGGCACGAAAGACCACAAACTATATGATTCAATTTATATAAAATGTCCAGAATGGGCCAGTCTACAGACACAGAAAGGAGATCAGTGGTTGCCAAAGGATGAGGGAAATGGGGGAAATGGAATATGACTGCTAGTGGATACACGGTTTCTTTTTGAGGTAATAAAGTTCATTGTAATTGTGGCTGCATAACTGTGAATATACTAAAAATCATAGAATTGTAAATTTTAAATGAGCAAATTTTATGGTATGAGTATCTCAATAAAGCTATTATTTGAAAAAGAAAAAGACTCCAAATCTCTATCTCTAATCCTGACCTCTCTCCTAAAGCTCGGATCACTATAATGCAATAGATTACAGGCAACTCAGACTTTGCTGTTGAAAACTAAAATTCACTGACGTCACAGATGCTTACCGCTGATAACTGGAAACACTGTCATTCAATTACACCAAAAGAAACCTTGGAGTCACTCTATTCTCTTACTCTCCTTTATACTGATCACTATAAAGGCTATCAGGTTTACCTCTTACGCAGCTCTAATATATGACTTCTCCATGCCCCAGCTTTATTTTAGGCCCTTAGAATTTCCCGCCAAAATTACTGCAAAAGTCTCCTAAATGATCTTACTGCCTCCAGTCTTGCATTTCTCCAGCAGATCCTCCACTGCTGCCAGAGTTTTTCTAAGATACAAATATGATCACATCAATCTCCTACTTAAAAATCTAAACTCCTGCTGGGTGCAGTAGCTCATGCCTGTAATCCTAGCACTTTGGGAGACCAAGGCAGGTGGATCACGAGGTCAGGAGATCGAGACCATCCTGGCTAACATGGTGAAACCACATCTCTACTAAAAATACAAAAAATTAGTTGGGTGCGGTGGTGGGCACCTGTAGTCCCAGCTACTCAGGAGGCTGAGGCAGGAGAATGGCGTGAACCCAGGAGGTGGAGCTTGCAGTGAGCTGAGATGGTGCCACTGCACTCCAGCCTGGGCAACAGAGCAAGACTCCTTCTCACAAAAAAAAAAGAAAAAAAATCCAAACTCCTTCATAATCTTTTAAAACTTTCAGAACAGACAGCTGAATCTCTCTGGCTGCCTCTTAGTCCATCACTCTTACAAGTGTGCCATCTTTATGGCACACTACTTACTTCTGTGTATATTCTTGCTCTTCCCTGCAATGCTCCTTGTCAATTTTTTACTTGGCTAACTACTGTCTACTAGTCTTGAAACTGAAAAGATGTCTGTGACTCTCCTCACAACCAGGCAATATGAAGCTCCTCTGTTTTCTCACAGCGTGTTAAGCAAGTCTCACTTATCATACTACCACGCCGTGAGTCTTCCTTACAAGGCGGAGAATTATCTCCATATCCATAGCACATGCTAAGTGCTCAAAACTAAGGAATGACTGAGTGGTCTTGTAAATGGTAGAACTGGTGTCTTTCATCTGCCTTAAAATGATCTAACAACTAGCATTTAATAACTCATCCTGTATTGACATTAAGTCATATATATGAAAATTCTAGGCTACCCCAAATAGATTTTTATATTTAAAAGCTATTCAACACTTACACGTAAGACTTAATGAGAGCTTAGTGATACACAGTATTAAACTTTAGACTAGACAACATGTTAGGGTCAAAATGGGATTTTACTTACCTTGACAACATCAGCTTTATGCTTTTCTAAAACTTGAAGAGTTTGGGCAGTAATGGAATCAATCACTACCACAAGTGAATGACATCCATAAGCAATTAAACCTTGCCAGCCCCTAGCAAAACAGTAATGTTAAATTTTAAGTACAGAACAAAGCAGGACAACTTCTTTCTGGTCAAGCCTAAATAAATGATAAATCTAATTCATATGTACCACCATTAATAAAATCATTTAAACCCAAAGGCCAGTATTTATCATTATCCTATTTGAATAAAAGATCTGGCTAAGCTTAAAATGCTTGTTGAAATTCACTTTTCATTCGGATAAAAAAAGTTCTAAAAGATATGAAAACAGAGACCGGAGGACATAGAAGGGAACTTGTGCCCTCTGATTGTTTTTGTGGGCATAGGTCTTTCGCTTACCCGATTTCTAATCCTTAGTATCCACAATGTGCCTGGGGATACCGCAACGAACCCCAGTACTTCCAACTAAATAAAATGACAAACACTGCACAAGACGTTTCGGTCCTCCTAACAACATCCCACAGCCACAGAATTTTGCTTTACATTTGTCTAATGAGTAATTTTCAGAGCTGCAGTGGTAATTTATAGTGAAAGCATACAGTAATAGAGACGACCTGTTGAAGACAGGAATGTCCTACACAGTAGGAGCCCGAAAAGAGAAGGTGGAAAGGGCAGGTGAGAGAACAGGCGCCTAGCACAGGGTCTGGCACATTGTTGAAGGAAAACAGGAATACAAGAGAAAGAAAAAGAAAAGACAGGATGGGAAAGAGAAAGTGAACAGGGAACTAATGGTGGAGAGAGAGAAACCTGTAAGCTGGAGGAGAGGTAAAGAGAGGGGAATGGAATAGCAAAAGGGCAAGGTGCAGAGAAAACAGCAGAGAAATAGGCGAGAAAGAGGGGAAATGTATTTGCATGGGGGAATTTCCCACACGGGGCTACTATCACTTTTGTAACAACAAAAATCCACCAACTAAAAGCAATCTTATTGAGTGAGGGCGGCTGCCTGTCTTAGCGAGGCCAAACTAACCAGGGGGTGAAACCTCTTGTTCTTCCCCCTTCCCCTCACACATTCCTGGCCGATCCTGGCGACCTGGAAGCCCGGCGCCCTCACCAGTCCACCGCCGCCTTGTTGTGGGCGTTGAGGGCCCCCGTGAGGGTGCGCGCCGACACCTTGAAGTTCACTGTGTAGGGCAACATCCCGGCTGCCAGCCCAGGACCTCGGCGCTGACCCGCAACCAGGAAACGGCGGACACTGTGCTTCCGTTCCAAACAGAGTCCGGGTGGCCCCCTGGGCGCCGCTGTCAGGTTCCGCTGGATTCAAGTTCTACAGGCTCCGGGTTCCACCGCTCCCGGATTCCATCGCCCCCAGGTTCCGTTGCCTTCAGTTTCCTAGGATGCCAGGTTCCGCACTCTCCAGAGTTCCGCCGCTTAGGCGGTTGTGCTAATCTGCGGCAGCCGGAGCTGTATTTGGAAGAAGAGGCGCTGCCTCCAGTCAAGTCTGTTTTTTTCAGGTCGGGACTGTAGGCCTTTGTGCCCTGCTGGAAATCGTGAAAAGCAAGAGAGAAGAGTCCCAGTTATTCTTTCTGCCTTTGATAAGTGAATTTAGGGCAACTACTAGCGCCAGTAGGCATGGGGGATCTACCGATGAAGAAGACACGCAGTCTCCGCTCTCGTGGAGTTTACAGAGAATAATGAATTAGATTAATTAAGAAATGAATGAGATTAATTGAATGAAATTGCCGGACTGAATGAAGTGAATGTCCCGAATATAAACAATTTGCAAATACAGATAACACTGCATATCTTGTGTTGGCAATACTCCCTTCGCACTTGAGGAAGAAGCACTATGTCTGGGGCCAAGTGTGACCCTTTGTCTGTTGTTGGGGTACCTTTCATTTCGCACTTTCTCCTCTGCTGCTCTCCAGGTCAGACCCAATCCCTCCCTCTTTGTGCTCAGTGTTGGGTTTATACGCTTTAACTATAGCACTTAATGCAATGATTTCTTTTCAGTGATGATATTTGCAGATGTGTGTTTCTCTCCCCAGTGCATTGTGAGCTCCTTGAGCAACAAAAGGGACAACATATTGGTGATTTTTCATCACAGGTTTTTGTGTCTAGCTTACCACTCTTGTAAAACAGCTTTCTCAAAGATCACCTCTATCCTCTTAGTTGTTCAAACCAATAATCATGTTTTGGCTTTTAGTTGATCATGTTTTGCCGCGGCTTCGCTTCCTTTCCCTTGTCTTACCTTTCCTTACCCCACACCCTAACCTACTGATGTTTGTGGGCCACCAAATGTGCCCCTAACCACAGATCTAAATTTACCACTCTCTTATTAAAAATCTTCCATGCCTCCTGTGAGAAGATTGCTAATTTGTTCCCCAAATTCATTCTCTCTTTTTTTTTCCTTAGGGATAGAACTTCAGTTTATATCTAGGCACATTGTCCCTCCATTAAATGAGTACATTCCCCCACTCCCTTTACAACTAGACCCAGCCATGAGACTAACTAAATGAAAATGGAAGTGTTTCATCGTGACCTCTGAGAAGTCACTTTGCTGTTCTGAGCCATTTCAGTAGTTATACCTTACATTATTATTATCTTCAGATATATCTCTCTCAAAGGGGAGGCCAACACATTTTTAAGTAATCATAATATAGGAAAAATTACATATTCCCTAGTAGACTTAGAGTTCCTCTCATAAAGGAACAAAATCCTGGTCTTCCTTTTGCCCCAATGTCTGGCACCTTTCCTGACATACAGTTGGTCTTCAACAAATGATTGACGGTGCAGGAGTTCCAAATGCCCACTAAGCATAAGGTCAAACAGGCACAAAGTGACAATCAGGCATCAGCGCAGTAGCTCACAGATGAGGGCAGGCGGCAGGTAACCAGCCCTCCCACTCCCTGGTAAGAAAAAGCCTCTTGGAGAAAGATTAATTAGTTTAAATCTGCAAGCTACCTTGAAGATATGGATGTTGGATATTTAGGGCAAGGACAGGCTGGGTTTGGGACAGTAATGTATCTGCCATGATACAAGAGTGTATTAAGTGTAATTAAGTATGTTAATGGATTTTCTGGCCTTCTCTGAAGCATCTGTCTTGGCCAGAGTGGAAGACAGAATATTGGACACACTGGGCAATTGATCTCTTTAATAGGACAGAACTTATGCTCCTCTTTATGCCTCAAAAGCTACCATTTCGCCCCATGCCTAATGACATAAACTCCAAAGCCTGGTAATGCACACTCAGGGCACCCTGCCACTGCTACATCATTTGCATCCCTAAACTAGGACAACTTTTTTACCCTTTTCTTTTGAAGTCAGTGGAGATAAATGCATGTGAACTTCTGATTCCTATTTTGATTTGGTGGTGGAAACACGAGAAATGGAAGAAATAATATGTAATGGAATAAATGCCTTACTTTATAAGTACAGTAGCTTCCTTTTGAGCACTCGCAAAGTGAATACTGTGATAAACCTTTTACCTGCATCATCTCATTTCATCTGCACAAAGCCACAAAGACTGTATTATCACAAATATTTTCACAAGTTCACAGAGCTGCCCAAGTTTATACAGACAATAAAAGGCAGAGCCAGCACTGGAACCCAGGGGAGTCTGATTCTGAAACGTATGCCTTTAACCACATTGCCTTCCATGTCATGTACTCCACAGCCCAGTTGGAAGAAACTCCAGCTGCCTAGGAAGCATGAGATTTAAAAAAAACAACAGCTTTACTAAGACATAATTCACATACCATACAATTCATCCATCTAATTTGTTGTGTTTTAATATATTCACAGAGTTTAGCAACCATCACCATAATCAATTTCAGGACATTTAATCACTTCTAAAAGAAACCCTGTACCCATTAGCAGTTGCTCACCATTTTCCCCACTTACCATCCCTCAACTCTAGCAACTGCTCATCTACTTTCTGTCTATATACATTTGCCTGTTCTGGACAGTTCATATGAAGGGAACCATAAAGCACGTAGTATTTTATGCCTGGCTTCTTCCGCTTACCATAACGTTTTCAAGATTTGTCCATGTTGTATCATATATCAGTACTTTATTCCTTTTCACTGCTGAGTAATATTTCATTATATGGATATACCATCTTTTATTTATTCAGTCATCAGCTGATAGGCATTTGGTTTGTTTCTGCTTTCTAGCTATTTCAAATATGTTGCTATGGACATTCCTGTACATATTTTTTGTGTGAATATATGTTTTTAATTCTGTTGGGTATATACCTAGTAGTACAATTGCTGGCTCATATAAAAACTCTATATTTAACTTTTTGAGGAAACTGCCAGACTGTTTTCCAGAGACTGCACCATATTGCATTTCTGTTAGCAGTGTGTAAGGATTCCAATCTCTCCAAATCCTGGTCAACACTCATTGTGATCTGTCTTCTTTATAATAGCCATCCTAGTGGGTGTGAAGTAGTTCTCATTGTAGTTTTGATATGCATTCTTCTGATGGCTAATGATGCTGAGCATCTTTTCAAGTGCTTATTGGCCGTTTATATCTTCTTTGAATAAATATTCAGATCCTTTGCTTATTTTTATATTGAGGTATCTGTCTTTTCACTATTGAGTTATAAGAGTTCTTCATATACTCTAGAAAGTCTCTTTTTTCTTTTTTTTCTTTCTTTTTTTTTTTTTTTTTTTTTTTTTTGAGACAAGGCTGTGACCCAGGCTGGAGTGCAGTGTTGTGATCATAGCTCACTGTAGCCTAACACTTCTGGGCTCAAAGGATCCTCCTGCCTCAGCATCCTGAGTAGCTGGGATTACAGGCAGGAGCCACGGTGCCTGTTTGAGTCTCTTGTCAGATATATAATTTGCCAAAATGTTCTCACATTCTGTAGGTGGCAGCATGGACTTTGAGCGACTTAGCTGAGCAACACATTCCCAATAAGGCAAAGGGCTGTGGTCAAGGTCTTATTTCCAAAACCAAGCACTGGCCTAGTTGTGGTCTGATTGTGGAAAGCAAAGGGAAAACAACTCTGACAATGAGAACTGTGTATCTAAGCACAATGTGCATTACTCCCAGGACTAATTGAATGAGTCAAAGGGAAAATTTTCTTTTTTATATGTTTCATTATTTGTGTAGCTTTTATTTGCATTTCTGTTTTATTTTATGTGAAATGGCAAGATAATGAGCAACTTTAGGCACACTGGTGACAGTCCTACACAGTATCTTCTAGCACCACGGGCTTCTCTGTGCACAAGTCCATAAAATCCATGCATTCTCTGTGTTTCTTTAAAGGCTTTCAAATGCCCTTCTATTGCTAATGCCAGGTATCATTTCTTGAGCATTTAACCATGTGCTAGGAGATGAGCTAAGGATTTTCCATGTGAGCTAAGCCTGTTTCACTTTTTAACCCCTCACACTGGATTTTCTTCTGGCCCTGGAGAGTCATGGAAGGTTAGCGTTAGTAATAGGAGGGCGTTTGTTGGGACTTTGGGCAGATTACTTGACCTCATTAAGCCTCCTTTTCTCCTGTTATTTGTGGGGAGCAGAGTAACTATTCCTGGATGATGAAAAACATGAAATCAGATAACATATTAAAAGAACCCAAAACAGCACCTAGCTTCCTACAGTACCTTATTATTTGCTGACCGTGCTGGAGCATGAATCTAGCCTCCTATTTTCTTTCTTTCTTTTTTGAGACAGGGTCTCACTCTGTCACCCAGGCTGGAGTGCAGTGTCATGGTCCTGGCTCGCTACAACCTCTGCCTCCTGGGTTCAAGTGATTCTCGTGCCTCAGCTTCCTGAGTAGCTGAGATTACAGGCATGAGCCACCAAGCGTATTTTTTCATATTTTTGGTAGAGACAGGTTTCACCATGTTGGCCAGGCTGGTCTCAATCTCCTGGCCTCAAGTGACCAGCCCACCTCGGCCTCTCAAAGTGCTGGGATGACAGGCGTGAGCCACTCTGCCCAGCTGAGGCCTCCTGTTTTCAATAACAACACTGACCCAACTAAGTTATACCATCTTGAATTTGAAGAGAGATATTTATATTTTCTCTTTAAGGAGTGGCTTGCAGGAGAAGAAATAATAAGGATTTGGGTAAAAATGGAGTTGAATTTGCTGTGTGAGTCACCAGGACACCAAAACTGCAGCCAGTTTTCTGTTTTTTAAAAAAGTTGCTGTATTATTCTTTATGTTTCCAAAGAGTAGGACGAGATTGTCCTGAGGCACTTTCAGTATAGGTGAGGGCTCTATGAACTCCTGCTTTGGCTGTTGCTGGCACC